CTTTTTTATTCTCCTTCCCTTAACATTTTAGACACCTGTTTGGTAAATATCCTTCACATCATTTAATATATCTCTTTCCCCATGTTATATATACACAAACACAATAATTTGTCTAACAATTTCTCAAGTTGTCCTTTGTTATGAATTATGAATTATCAATATGTATATATATTTCACGTCTAAATACCCTGAGGGCACTATAAATACACTGCAACACTTTTTTAATTTTATTTTTTGTTATTATTCAACTGGGTGAGCTAGAAACTTAACCTTTATGCATCATGTAAATGGCCACTGCCTGCCAACAATTTGCTAAAATAAATGTCAACTCAGCAGAATCTACTGATATCCTTGTTTTGATTGTTTCTATAAATTTTCCAAAGGCTATGTATTTTCGTATACAAAATACAGATTAAGTATAGAAGCCCATGTACTGTTTATATTTTTTTCTGACTTATCTCAGGAGAACAGCTCTTATTGAGAAAATAAATTTTAAAAATACATATTCTTTGTTTCTCACCTACTTACTGAGTTACAAACGATGGGAAAATATAAGTTCTACTCATTTTAAACTACTTTTAAGGGATGTCTCTTGTTTCTATGTTTATGTATATCAATAGGACCTGCGTGACCTGATGAACCTGCATGTCCTACATTGTTTTATTCTGATTATTCTCATGTTGAGAACAACAATACTTTCAATAAAAAAGATATTTACACACAAAATACATGACATTTATGGGCTTCCGTAGATAAAGGGAACACGGCAATCACAAAGTAAAAATTTTAAATGTTACAAGGCTCTTTAAAATCCCCTATCTTAGCAAGCAAATACCTGATCTGGATTTCAAACATATTTGCAATGCAGACCAGATTCATTTTGGGTTGAGTAATCCACCCTTCCACTGCATGTGCCCCCTTGCAATTTAGACATTTGAGAAGAGACAATAGAAGCAGTTTAAGCATTAAGTAATGCAGTTAACATGTTTAAGTCCCATGTTAGAATTAGTGCTGGACCCACTGATCTTGGGGTACTTTGACTTAGTGGTTGGCTTAACATGCTATGGCCATATGGTGTAACTGAGTCTCCATATTTGTTTGCTACGATTGTGTGTGTGTGTTGTTCCCTTAATCTGTATTCAGCAGAATTTTCATTAGACTAGTGGGATAGTGTCATTCCCATCACTTGAAATAGCACCTTTCTGTAAAGTAAATTCCTAATTTTTGACGCATGCATGTAAAAAATTCACAGTGGTAACAGACACTCGTGCCAAAATAGACAATTACTTACTGAAAATGATTGCTGCTTCTAATCTTGCTCCTTCTGCTGGTCATCATTCTCAGATTTATGCACCTGTAACGGAGGTCCCTGTACCCTGGCTGGGTACCTCCTCCAAGACCGCTTCCTAGCTGGAACAATGGACAAACCGCAGCACTTCTGCCCACAGTCACCGTGGCTTGACTGAGGCCCTGGAACCGCTCCTTCCTGGAGCCGAATGGGGAATTAGCTCAAGTCCTTACAAGGACTTTCCCCATAGAATCCCCTGCAAGCTGGAACAGCAGACAAAGGAGTAAATCTTCTTTCCCTCCAATAACAGGACGACACACAGTTTTGGAGTGTAAGCTGGAATAGATTTTAATAATTAATGCCATACTGGCGTTTTATGCAATTCCCCCAACAAGGGTGACACCCACGTGGACCTTGTTGGGCACAGGGACACAAAGTTATACACCAATCACAATAGAGTTACAATCGAAGATACTCCCACACATAATACAATAAGCCTTCCCCTTACTTAGGAGATAATTGAGTAAAGCACTATACGAAACTCAATTGTGGTCCTATATAAAGCTTGTAGGACATGGTCCTATGCCTAAAACCGTTGCAGGGAAATCAGTGCTAACAATCGGTCAAGTTTGGTAGTCTTTTACAGGTTTCCCTGCAGGGCCCATAGTCTGTGGGCAGGAGGCTGGCAAGCAGGCTCCTCCAGGAGCTCATAGCAAACTCACTTGGAGAGGGGAGTTTGTCACATGCACCCTCATCAATTTCTAGTTCTTCTGGCCATAATCAACGCAATGTCATTCTTACAAGGCTGTGGTTGTGTTACTCTGGCTCCCAACTATCATAAATCATGTAAACCGCAAATTTAGTCTTAGTATTGCGTCTTTTATAAGATTTTTTAAGTTGACGTGCTAATTTGGCATTGCGTTTGTGCAAGACTGATGCAAAATTGACACACGGTTGTAGGCCTATATAAAGCTTGTTTCTACCCTATTACAGCACCCATTTCTGGATTCTAGGCTCTTAAGTGCTTTATTTTATTTTTTAGTGAATTTTGGTGCACCAGACCTCTGCTTGTTCTTAAACTTGTATTTTGCTAAGGCCACTGTATTGTTCCAGTATCCAGTGTACCAGAACTGGCCCATATTTGACCCTGACTTTGTCCAATACATAGTTCCAGTATTCCTGCATACTAGTCCTCGGCTAGTTCTTGACTACAAGTTTGTCTTGTCCTCGTACCTGAGCTCCTGTGTTCTATTACAAGGGTTCTTTGCATTTTTTCGTGTTTTTGTCCTGTACAAATTGTTAGCTTAGCGCTGGTACTTCCTCTTTTTATCTAAGCATTAAGTCAGCCATCCTAAGACACTTTTAGTTAGGTTACCGTTTGTACCTTGCTGAAGAATCCTTAGTATCCTGACAACTTCACAACTAATAAATCATCACTCTGTACATACGTCCACCAACCTTTCTGAGAACTTTTGGCAACCATGGTACAGACAAAAGCTATTGTTTTCCCAGTTGGAAGTCCTACGTGGCTACTTTGCGCAGTACTAACGTGTTTCGTTTGTGCAAGTTGCCCGTATACAATTCAGCTTTCCACAATTCAGTTAGATCAGTCTCCTACCTAGGGATCATGTTGTTGTGGATCAAACCAAGTGTTTGATTATCTGAATATCTGCCCCCTGTCCAAATTGTTTAAAATGGATGCGTGCACACTCTGAAGTAAATCACACCAGACACAAGGTTTCAGGTTGATGAAAAACTTTGGAATGTTTAATCAGGGGGTGGGGAGCCCCCTATAAAGGCAGAAATACATCATATGCAGAAAGCAAGATAACAGAGAGAATACATCTTGAATTAGTTGAGTGTTAAGTGTCTTATCTAATGCCCTTCCTGCAAAGTGTGATGTCACCAGCATTCTAGGTGAGGCTCTCTGGAGGAGACGCCCTCTTAGCACATGACATTCTTTACATTATTTTACACGATGGGAGGGGGTGTTTCTAGCAGCCATTTTGAGCAGTTAATGAACACAGGATGGGAGGGGGTGCTCCAACAGCAATTCTAAAAATCTAAATGTGTCCCTAATAGGCTGCAACAAATCTGTCTTACAGGTCTTGAACTCTTTTGATTCTGCGCATAAGACAAGCAGTGGCTTGTCCACTACCTCCCCGCTACAGACTTTGCCCGTAAAGACAGACGCTATCCTTACCGTCCCTAAAAGGAAATAGTTATGTGATTGATGTGGAGGGACTGCAATGGAGAATGGGGCTCGTCATAGTCCTCGTCATCTATTTCTTGGTGAAGGAAAGTCGGCACTTTTTAATACAAGGTAACACACATCAAACAATAAGAGCAAGGATGATCAACATTATCAAGACAGTCACACCTATCTGGGCCAGAACTTTTTGCCAACCATTCACCCATCCAAACAATCTTTCCCACGGATCAGTGACCCCAGAATTCCTTTTTAATTCTTCTGAAAGACTTTCTAGTTTTTCTATCGCCAGGGTCACCTTGCCACTTGGACCTGTGTTATCTGGGATGAAGGTACAACATGTCATAGTGTCAGGGAGTATTTTACATACCCCTCCTTTTTCCGTCAAAATCATCTCTAGGGCCATCCTATTCTGGAGGTCATCTGGGAGGTGGCTTGTAATTGCTCTGCCAGCCCTTGAAGGGCATCTCTGGTATAATTAACAAAGCGCTGTTGATTATAATAGATATAATTAATGCAATTCAAATTCTTATTAGCAGTGATAACTAGGAGAATAGATTCAAACCCTGCTGCAACTTGGTCTCTTACCTTGAATTCATTTGGTACCTCCCTTGGCACCTCTATGGCATCAATATATATGTGGAGGTCAAAACTGCCTTGTACAGGGGTGCTTCTTTGTGTCCTGAAGTATGAATGTAGTGTGTCAGGAGTACCTTGGTGTGTATGGACATAATAACCTTGGCTAGGGCACATTTTAATTATTCTTTATCGAATAAATCCTGTCCCATGCTATCTCAGTACAGGTGGACTCAGATCCTGAAGAAGTTTCAACCGTACATTGGCACCTCAGCTTCCAGACGTAAGGGCTGCAGGATAAGGAGTACGTCTGATTCTTTTTAGTTTCACAGGGTCTCCTTTTAGGGATCCTCGGCTTTCCATCGATGGCAGGTGGTCAGGCATTATTGTGGCCATCAAAACACCTTATTGTTAATATTTTCTACAACAAGTATCTTTATTTTCTTAAAATGGAGTTGCAAAGGGTCGTCAAGATCAACAAATGTTACCTCCCATGAGGTAGGCTTGATTCTGGAGTGATCTCAGCAACTTTCCACGGTGTACTATTTGGTATGTGGCCTCTCTTCTAATTCGTGGAGATCCCATTTAAGGCCTAGGACAATCAGTGGCGGTCAACTGTACATGATTTTGGAGGGGAGAGAGACCGTTTCTGTGGTGGGGCTATTTTTGGCACATTCCATACATCCTCTGTGTGGAATGTAAGGGTTACCCCCAGTACTGCCCAGATTTCTTTGATTACTGATGCAGTGAAGGCTGATCCTTGATCAATTTCTATTACTCCAGGGACCCTATATCTGCATATCACTTTGGTGAGCAGACGGTCGGCTGGGGTTCTGACTGTCATATTGGTGGCTGGGTAGGCCTCTGGCCATCCTGAGAACATGTCTATGCATATTTGAACTGGCCACTCTTTGGCATTTGAATGCAGTCAACTTGGATTCTCTGAAAGGGATAGTGAGGTTACGCTAGAAGCTTCGGGGGCTTCCTCCATCCTGCACAGATGGCGCAGGATCTATAGTATCTGTTTGTCAGACAGGTAATTCTTGGTACTTCATAGTATTTGTTGATCAAAGAGTTCATGAGGGTCTTGGACAAGTGTGATCCTCCATGGTTCCACTAGACCACTGATGAGTACATGCTCTTGGGTAAAGAGAACTTGAGATTGTTGGAATACAGCCCGTCTCAAAGGGTTGCCCCTTTCTGTTTCCAGCTTTGTATATCTTCAGGATCAGCAGCTGAGATCTGTGGGTAGGGTCTGCATAGTGAATGTGGGAGTTTCTTCAGCGGACACTCTTCTGTCCACTTCCCTTGGTGCACGTGCAGCTTGTTTAGCGGCTTGATCAGCTAGATAGTTGCCTTGTGTTTCTTCCGAGTTCAGTCTTCCGTGACCCTTTCCCTTCAGTATGGCCACTTCTTCAGGAAGGAGTAAGGTATCCATCAGCTCTTTGATAGCCGTACTGTGCTTGACTGGTGTGCCAGTTGCCGTGAGAAATCTTCTTGTCTTCCAGATTGACCCGAAGTCATGTGCCACGCCTAGTGCATATCTTGTGGCAGTGTAGATATTGGCGTGTCTTCCTTCAGAGATCTTGCATACTGTGGTGAGAGCCTGTAGCTCAGCTTCTTGAGCAGACATTGTTGAGGGGGGTGAGGGTGCTTGAAGTATTTCTTTTACTGTGGTGACAGCAAGTCCAGTATGGTATCTTCCGTGTTCATCAGCAAATCTGGAGTCATCCACAAACAGGGTGAGTTCGGGTTCTTATAGGGCAGCCTCATGCACTGTTGGGAGGTGTGTTGGTTCCATTTTCATCTGTTCAAAGCAGTCATGAGGTGTGTCTAGATCTTGTCTGGGGGAGGGGCATCAGTGCTCGGTGACATCCTCCTTAGAGAGCTGGGTCTGATCTGCAGTGCTCCATGATTTGGCCAACAGGCCACGTTCTTTTCATGAGGTCTGTGGGGACTTGGAGAAGGAGATGTGGGGGACAGTCAAGTCCCAGTGGGCCACGCTGTTGCCTTTAGAATCACAGAACAGGTCTTCTTCATAGTGGGGTTCGGGTCCTGGAGTAGTTCTGAACCACAAGGTTCAGTGGGGGAAAGGCTGAGTGTCATGTGGGGAGGCTGTACCAGTAGTGGGGAATTCCCCCCTGGGAAGTGGCAGAAGAGTGGCCAGGTTGAAGGAGTAGCACCTCTGCAAGAATACATTATCAGGCAGCAGAAGAGAGCATTGTAAGCCTAGGTGGCGGGCAGCTGAGAGATGCTTGGGCTAGACTTGACTGAGGATGGCAGCAATGTCATGAGGTGCAAGAATGGTGAGTTTTATGCCCCAGTATCAAATCACTTGTCTCGTCAATGAGAGCTTTTGCTTGGAAAACTGCTCGAAGACAAGAGGGGCCTCCTCTTGCCACGGGGTCCAGCTGACATGACTAGTAGTCAATAGGACATTGGCAGGAACCATGAGATTGCGTGAGAACTCCAGATGCATGACCCAGGCTTTCAGAGACAAACAGCTTAAAAGGTTTCTGGTAGTTGGGGAGGCCCAGTGCAGGGGCGGAGGAGATAGCACATTGCAAAGCACAGAAACTGAGGGGATTGATAAAAAGGTTCAGTCTTTAAGGCATCATAGAGAGGTTGCATGAGAGTGGAGGCCTCGGGTATCCAGGCCCTGCAGTAGGAAATAAGGCCCAGGAAGGCATGGAGGGGCTTGTGAGCTGTTGGAGGACAAATAGTTGTAACGGCTCTCACTCGGTCCCGGGTGCCATGGGAAAGACAATGTCCCAAGAAGACCACAGAGGGCCGCCGGCACCATTGCAGCTTCTTCCAGGAGGCCTTGCAGCCTTGTTCAGCAAGGTAACAGAGTAAATCTTCTGAGGTGCGCTCAGCAGTTGGGAGATCATAAGCACAGAGGGGAAGGTCATCCACGTATTGGAGTAGAACTACATCAGTGTGGGTCTCTTGCCATGGGTCCAGAATAGGGGCCATAGCCTTTGCAAATTGACTTGGTGAATTCTGTGCTCCTTGAGGCATGACAGTCCATGTATACTGCTGACGGTCATGAGTGAATGCAAACAAATATTGACATGAAGGATCTTGGACCATTCTGTATTTTGCAGGCCCACCCTTTTTCGGTTTTCTTCTTTACAGGGAACAGTGGGGTATCGCAGGGAGAACCACAGGGGACCAGGGCACCAGTTGACACCAGAGCATGAACCTGCTGGAAAATATCAAGAGCTTGGGCAGGCTTCAGAGGATAGTGTGGTCTTGGGGCAGGCTGGCCTCTGGGAGCAACTTCACCAGAACTGGGGGAACTGTCCAGGACCCTTGCATTCAGGCCAGATGTCTCCATGTGGAGCAGAAGAGGCATGGTGCAGAGGGTCGAAGTATCGGCAGCAGAGAGTGGTGAAGACACCCCTAGCAAATAAATTAGACAGGTAAAGGAAACTACAAAGCAGGTTAGGAGATCAGGGAAGTTGACAATTTATAAAGGCTTAGTTAACGGGCTACTCCGTGGGGTGCCATATACACGTACACAAGAAACATCTATGTTGGACAGGAAAGAGAAGTCAGTCAAGTCTTGCTCTCTCATAACACTTCAGGCTGCGCCTGTGTCAACTAAGAAGGTGGTTGGGTGGCCTTCTTCAGGCAGGACCACCATGGCTAGCCACCCCCTCTTTATCCTCTGTAGACACTGCCATGACAGAGGTAGATGACACAGGTTTGCCAGAGAATCAGGTAAATATGAAAAACGTCACACTTACCTGCTTTTTCCTGCCTAAAACGTTTGTACAAGACAGTTGACTTTAAGTGATGCATGTCCCCTTCACATTAAAGGGAGCTGCCACTTCCCAGTATATTCAATAATATATTTACGTATCTCCTATATATAGCAAATATATGTTTGTAAGGTCTAAAAAATGAAATTAAATAAACAAATCCAAACTCTTGCATTTACCACTATCTAGGAACTGTGTGTCTCTATCTTAGTTCCCTGTAAATCACAACCCATGGGGTGATTTATCAAAGTATTGAAGTCTTAAAATTGTACAAAGTAATAAAGGTAAGGTAATTATCACAGGGACCAGTGGAATGTTTACATCATGTCTTTATGAGCCACTACATGTTGAAAACAAACAGCATATAAAGTCATGTAGCCAGTGGCGTACACATGACCCATGGGGCCCCGGTGCGAAAATTGATCCGTGGCCCCCCCCCCGCGCGCGCGCGCCGCAAAACATGGCGGTGGGCACCTGGTCGCAGGGGTTACAGGGCTGCGACCCCTGCGACCGCGGTATGTACGCCAGTGCATGCAGATGCACACACACTTAAAGGACCACTCTAGGCACCCAGACCACTTCAGCTTAATGAAGTGGTCTGGGTGCCAGGTTCAGCTAGGGTTAACCCATTTTTTCATAAACATAGCAGTTTCAGAGAAACTGCTATGTTTATGAATGGGTTAAGCCTTCCCCTATTTCCTCTAGTGGCTGTCCCATTGACAGCCACTAGAGGCGCTTGCGTGCTTCTCACTGTGATTTTCACAGTGAGAGCACGCCAGCGTCCATAGGAAAGCATTAAGAATGCTTTCCTATGTGACCGGCTGAATGCGCGCGCAGCTCTTGCCGCGCGTGCGCATTCAGCCGACGGGGCGGATCGGAGGAGGAGAGGAGGCAGAGAGCTCTCCACCCAGCGCTGGAAAAAGGTAAGTTTTACCCCTTTTCCCCTTTCCAGAGCCGGGCGGGAGGGGGACCCTGAGGGTGGGGGCACCCTCAGGGCATTATAGTGCCAGGAAAACGAGTATGTTTTCCTGGCACTATAGTGGTCCTTTAAAGGACCACTACAGACACCCAGATCACATCAGCTCAATGAAGTTGTCTGGGTGTCACGTCCCTCTAGTTTTAACTGCTATGTTTCACTGAGGGTTAATCCAGCCTCTAGTGGCTGTCTCACTGACAGCCGCTAGAGGAGCACACTGAACGTCCATAGGAAAGCATTGAGTAATGCTTTCCTATGGGCGGTTTGAATGCGTGCGCGGTCGCATTCGGAGCTGAGAGGCTAAGGGATCCTCAGCGCCAAGGGAGTCCGGCGCTGGAGAAAGGTAAGTGCTGAAGACACACACACACACACACACTTACAGACGCATACACACCAGCTAACAGACACACGCATTTACTGACAGAGACACAGTCAGCGACAGACTTTCATACATACACACTCACTTACAAAACATACACTCTCATTGACAAACACACACTCAGTAAGACACACACAGTAACACTCACTGACACTCACTAGCAGACACACACACTAACACACAAACACTCACTAGCAGACACACTAACACACACTCTATCACTCACACACACTAACACTCACTCTAACACTCACACTAACACTCACTCTAACACTCACACTAACACTCACACATGATTTTATTTTTTATTTTTTTAAATGTAATACCCCCAGCCTCCTTACCTTTTGGAGTGCTGGGGGGATTCCCTGGGGTCCAGTGGTGCTGTTGGGCTCCTGGGCGGGTGGCTGGTCGGGCGGGCAGGCAGGCGGGCGCGCGAGGGAGCACTCAGTGCTTCCTCTTCAGCTCCCTCGCGCGCCGCGTAGGGATGCCGGAGCCGGAAGATGACGTCATCTTCCGGCTCCGGTATCATTGCGGTGCGCGAGGGAGTTGAAGAGGAAGCACTGAGTGCTCCCTCGCGCGCCCGCCTGCCCGACCGGCCACCCGGGGTTAGAAGGGCCAGCCTCAGGGGGCCCTGGGGTGGTCGGCTCCTGGGCCCCCCAGGGGAAGAGGCTGGCCCTGGGCGTACATACCGGGTCGCAGCCGCGACCCCTGCGACCCTGGTATGTACGCCACTGCATGTAGCTCATCTTATCTGACCATTTATATATACCACACAAACTTTATCCTTACCACCACTGTTAAAAGGATTTTCCTTGCATTAACAAGCTCTGTCAAAAAAAGGTATTCCTGACATTAAAGTAATAAAAATGACACGTGCCCTAATAGTTAAGTTAGTTATTCATTAAAGTGATATTATTCAGTAAACTTTGAACTGTAACAAACAGAAATTTTACAGAATTTTTCACTAAAGTGAGAACTGTCAAAGTGAATTTCAAACCTAAAACCAAAACAGACAAACTGGGAAAAAATCAGCAATGCTTCCAGTTCAGTTACCTTAAATTTGAAATTCAATTTGATTTCCCAACAATTCTTTAAAATCTATAGCGAATAACGCTGTAAATATTAAAATTCAGTCTAAGTTGCCAAGTTGTTACTCCAGCTGTCGGAGAATTTTTCCAGATGATTTTTTTTTTTTGTGTGTACATTGGGCATGTTGGCATTCATTTGTTTATGGGGGAAATACAATTTCACAAATTAATTTAAAGTTTTAGGCTACAATAGCTGGCAAATTCTCCAAGCACAACTGGGTTTTCACTTGCGCTACTTTAACCTGAAACTCCAAATTCACATTGCATCCTCAACTATTGACACCTTAGTAAATCTGGGCCAGGGTTATCCAGTTCCACGAGCAATGTCAGGAGCTCACGGCCCCCTGCCTTTTCTATAGCTCTGTTTATATTGTACTGTCTTTTCCCAAATTGTACAGCGCTGCGGAATATGTTGGCGCTTTATCAATACCAGTAATAAATAAAATAAATGGCTAATTTGGAACCCCCTGAAAAGACCCCACTATTGCACCACAGCTTATTAATGGGACCATGACGTCATGGCCCAGGGCTCCCCCACCGCCCCTCCCATTCCCTGGAAGTAACCTTAGCAACTGCATCACCGTGCGCGTGACGCACTGAACCCCACGACGGACGCCCCGCCCCCTACCCTTGGAAGAAAAAAAAAAAAGAAGCGTTAAGGCGGGCAAGCTTAGTCACCCAGACACCGCCGATGACGTCGCGGGGCCCCGAGCCGCTCATTGGTCCGCGAGAGGCGCAGGGTTCGCCCGATTGGCCAGAGCGGGGACGAGAGCATGACGTCTCGAGATCTCGCGACGCCGGCCGGCAGCTTGCTTCTTCCCTCCTTTTACTCCTCCTCTGACAGCGAGAACTTTCGAGATCTCACCCCCAGCTCCATTCATCCCCGCACGGTGGAGCGTCGTGCGGCCGCCTCGCTCGCTTTCAGTGTCCCTCCGCCTCGCTCGCTCACTCCGCCCCCCCGCCCGCCGCAGCCATGTCGGTAGTGGGTTTTGACTTGGGCTTCCAGAGCTGCTACGTCGCCGTGGCCCGGGCCGGAGGCATCGAGACGGTGGCCAATGAGTACAGCGACCGCAGCACTCCGTGAGTATCGCCATGCTTGCTGTCAGCCATCGCGCCTCTCTCTCTCTCACACAGACACACGGTGAGCCCGGGGGTATCCGGCTCTGCTCCCTTCACTCAGCCGGAGGAAGAGCGTTAACACGGCGGGAGCGGGGAGGCAGAACAGGGAGCAAAGCATTATGGGAGTGCTACATCCACCCGAGCTGGGCCACACATGGTGTATAGAGACACTGCCTGGCTGAGCATCATGGGACACATAATCCATAGCAGCTTTATATCATAATGTTAATAAGCAGTGTCCCTTAACCAGACTGGCACATGCAGCACGCATTCCTGGACACGCTTTATTATGGTTTTTCTACTAAATATTATTAATTATTATTTATAAAGCGCCAACAAATTCCGCAGCGCTGTACAACAGGTGGACTAACAGACATGTATTTGTAATCAGACGAGTTGGACGCAAAAGAACAGAGTGGGTTAAGTGCCACTCTCAAATTATTTATAAAGCGCCAGCAAATTCTGTAGCGCTGTACAATAGGTGGACTAACAGGTACAATTGCAGCAAGACGAGCTGGATGCACAGGAACAGAGGGTATTGTGGGCTAGACTGGTGGGAAGAGGGAAATCAATAAAGGAAACCTATTGGAGATCTATTTGTCAAAGCACCATAACCACTACAATTAACTTAATGTTTTGACTTATTTTAATGCTGATTAATATTAACGAAGCTCTCTTGACCCCTAGAAATCAGACCTTCTACAGCAGGTCAGCCAATGCATAAGTATGAACCAATAGTGATGAATAGCAGTTACCTGAGCTAGAAAATCTAGTGCAGCACTTCTATTGTGTTACACAACCGCATGAAGTGAAATGTCCAGCAAAACATGATGGATCAAGCAACCCAAATGCCATTACTACTGTAATTTAGTATCAAAATATAAAATTGTAAATAGAAAAATTCTATAAGCACAGGGAGAGCGCATCTTTATAATTCTACTTTATTGCCTTCGTTTGTGTCTTTCTTTCTCTGTAAAATTTCTCATACGGTTCCAACCCATTTTTTGGTAATCGCCTAACATATATGTATATTCACTAAACTGAAAACTGGATAATTCCAGAGATTTACACTTTCTTTAAAGAAACAGGTCAAGTGTGATAACCACTACAGCTCTGTAGCATTAAACTTCTCTCATATGACTCTCCATAAGAAGTTGTGGTGGAGAGCAATGTTTTGCACACCCCAGGTAATTTCTCTTATTACTTGGATGGGGACACGTTACTCATAGTGACATAACTACAAAATGCTGAAGTGGTTATAGTACTTGGAGTGTTATGTTAAAATGCACTTGAGGCTCCATAACTACTAACATTTTTATATTAGAGGTTTTTCTGCTAGGCAGCTTTGAGTAAGGTTCCTGTGATTTGACCAAAAATTTATGATTTTTTTTTTTTCAAGCACACTAAGCCCAGCAGATTTGGTATAATGTACTTACATTATGAGTAACCTTTACTACATCATTATCTGTCAAAAATATTTTATGGCAACTGCTCATGCAGTCGGATTTGCCAGGAATACTATAAATCTGTATTTCAAACACTATCCCTTTCAGACTCCAAAGGGTTAATAAAACCTTTATTCGCTTACCCAATTCCAGCGGTGTGATTAACACTGCAGGACTAAGTGGGACAGGAACACTGCAAAATGAAGTGTTCTAGGTGACTATAGTGTCCCTTTAAAGATTTTGCTCTTCTTTGAATCCCCAAAGAAGGCAGTGCTCACAGCTTCTTATACTGCCTATGTCATACAGATATTTGGACTAATAAAGAAGTGAACTTCTTCATTCTGATTTTTCCATCAGAAGGGGAGGACTTGGATTTCCTAGGAATTCTCAGATTTTTCTATTGTGAGAAACCACGTGGGGTGTTACCCAAGACGCAACTGCTCTCATTTGATAAACTGAGAGATGAAAATGTACTGGGCTCATTGACTGACTGAGAGTGTTGGCTGCCACTCTCAACCAGTGAACTAAACCCTGCATTTCTCAAGAGAGATAGTGGGAGTTCCAGCTTAGAAACTGCTGGTGGTTAGCGGCAACCAGTGGACCTCGGGTAAGATGTCAAACCATCCTTTAATAGTTTGACTCTTACAATGGTTTGGTACTCGTGGCACCATAACCACTGCAACACTCGAGTATATGGTGCTTGGAGCGTTCCTTTAATCTTAGGTACAAAGTCCTCATAACCTTAAAGTATTTTCTAATGTTATTACACATATAAATGGTAAAGGCACATCCCAACTAACCACTAGAGCTACGTTCTTTTAAAGGAAGTTTAAGCACCAAAATCCCCTCATCTTAATAAAGTACTTTTTTGGGGCATAGATAAGTCTGCCGCTCTGTCATAGTTGAGGATTCTGAGAAATGTACTATTTATTTTGTGCAATCCCCACGCCTCTAGTCGCTATCTAGTGAATTACAGGTGCCAGGCTAAAATAGCTTCAATAATCAAATCTATTGGATGTCTTGCATCAGCATGCAAAGAATGCAGACGCTGTGTGTTAATTGAGTAGTGGATGAGTTTATCATACTGAAAGCTGTGTATGTGGCGTGTCTACAATGCTTCTTCTATGAGAAATTTGAATTTAAAAAAATAAATAAATGTAGGATTAACCCCTTAACGACCGAGGACAGTTCAGGACCGTCATCGGCATTTTTGCGTTGCCGACCGATGACGGTCCTGAACCGTCCTAACGGTCTGAGTTACTTACCCGATCACCGTCATTCCCCCGGCGGCGATCAGCGTGGCTCCCGGTGTGGGGAAACTGCCTGCAGCCCAGACAGTCTCCCGACACCGGATTAGGACCCCTGTGGCCATGTGATTGCTCAACACAGCGATCACATGGTCACAATAGGTGTCCTAGTGACTGCCTGTGCTGACAGGCAGTCTCCCTGCATGTGTAAAATCATAAAATAAAAAAATAAAGTTAATGTTAATAAAAAATAAAATAATTATGTGTATATATGATGTATAGACATATATATGATATATAGACATATTATATAGATATAATATCTCATACTAAGTGTATTTTTATATTAATATGTATTTTTATATTAATATAAAAATACACTTATAATTAAATTACACACGTGTGTGTGTGTGTGTGTGTGTGTGTGTGTGTGTATATATATATATATATATATATATATATTAAAATATAAATAAGTAATTTAAATTAAATAAAATTCTTTAATAAAAATTTAAAAAAAAATTATATCTATATGAAATTTTATTCTAACTGTATTTTAAAATTAATATATTTATATCAAAATACTTAAAATGAATTTGTATATATAAATAAATAAAAATAATACGAAATATACATATGTCCATATACAAAATTACATAAATAATTATATAAATATACACGTAGACTTCAAATATATAAATATGCATATATATTTAAATTCTACGTACGTATTTATGTAATATTTTTACATAATTCAGTAATTTTATTGATTGCAATTTGAGGGACCTGCCTGCCAACCCAGGCCGAAATTCCAGAGAATTTAATTTGCTAGCACTGTATTTTACCCTGTAACGTTCTACGACACCCTAAAACCTGTACATGGGGGGTACTGTTTTACTCTGGAGACTTTGCTGAACACAAATATTAGTGATTCAAAACAGTAAAACATATCACAGCAATGATATTGTCAGTGAAAGTGACCTCTTTTTGCATTTTTCACACACAAACAGCACTTTTACTGATGATATTGTGATACGTTTTCCAGTTTTTAAACTCTAATATTTGTGTTCAGCGATGTCTCCCGCGTAAAACAGTACCCCCCCCCTCCCCCCCCCATGTACAGGTTTTATAGCATTTTTGAACGTTACAAGGTCAAATATATGGGTCAAATATTTTTACATTGAAAATGGCCAGGTTGGTTACGTTGCCTTTGAGAGCGTATGGTAGCCCAGGAATGAGAATTACCCCCATGATGGCATACCATTTGCAAAAGAAGACAACCCAAGGTATTGCAAATGGGGTATGTCCAGTCTTTTTTAGTAACCACTTGGTCACAAACACTGGCCAAAATTAGCGTTCAATTTAGTTTTTTTACTTTTTTCACACACAAACAAATATGAATGCTTACTTTGGCCAGTGTTTTCGACTAAGTGGCTACTAAAAAAGACTGGACATACCCCATATTGAATACCCTGGGTTGTCTACTTTAAAAAAAATATGTACATGTGGGGTGTTATTCAGAGATTTATGACAGATAATAGTGTTACAATGTCACTATTGATAAATTTTAAAAATGTATGTTTTGAAACCGCAATATCCTACTGGTACCTATAGCCCTATAATATGCAAAAAAAAGCATGTAAACACTGGGTATTTTTAAACTCAGGACAAAATTTTGAATCTATTTGGCAGGTTTTTTTTTCCATTCGCTTTTGTAGATGAGTAAAAGATTTTTCAAGTAATAGTCAAAAAACATTTTTTTTTTTTTCAATTTTTCATCATATTTTATTTTTTTAAATTAAAATACATGAGATTATATAAATAATGGTATGTAAAGAAAGCCCCTTTTGTCCTGAAAAAAAAAAATATATAATTTGTATGGGAACAGTAAATGAGAGAGCGTAAAATTACAGCCAAACACAAACACCACAAAAGTGTAAAACTATGCCTTGTCGCAAATGTACAACATCGCAAAAACAGTCCAGTCCTTAAGGGGTTAAAGAACAAGGAAATATTTTTTTTTTTGTTTAAAAGAAACTTTCTTCCTTTAGGAGTACACACACACACAATTCTAACATTGGCACTTTCTCCACTATTAAGTTTTTCTTGCCTTTAGTCCCGTGTTGCTTTAGTCTCGGCATGGCCGATGCTCCTTCCCTGACTATCTTGGTCAATTCAATGTTTCCCCACGTTTGTGACAGTCCCTACACTGCCAATAAGCATTGCCTTATAATGATGAACTGACTCTTTATTTCTCTATGGGGAGCATTCAGCTTCTCCATACAGAACGTGAAGGCGCTGAATGTCAGTCCTGCAAGGATTGAAATACCAGACCGGGAAGCTCCTCTACTGTTTGAGTGACAACTGGTGGGTGGGAAGCAATGTAAACATACCTCCATATTAAAGGGACACTATAGTCACCTGAACAACTTTAGCTTATAGTCACCTGAACAACTTTAGCTTTAAGTGAGAACTATAGCTCCCTGCAGCCTTTCTCATGTAAACACTGTATTTTCTGAGAAAATACAGTGTTTATATTGAAAGCTAGAAACACCTCCGGTTGCAGTCACTCAGAGGGACTTCTGAGTTGATGGAGGCATAATATGCCTCCATCCACTCAGATCTGCTGTGCACGAGCATCCTGTGATTCAGTATCTCCTCCCACTGCATGCAGACACTGAACTTTTGATTCAATTCATCTCTATGAGGAGATGCTGATTGGCCGGGGCTGTGTTTGAATCATGCTGGCTCTGCCTCTTTGCCAGTCTCAGCCAATCCTATGGGGAAGCACTGTGATTGGATCAGGCTATCACATGTCAGCAGACTGCTTGTTTGTTTTTCCTGAGTCTAACAGCATGCAGATTTACAGCTTCTGGCTTGAATACAGTGATATTTGTACTATATTTATGGAGGCATGAGGGGCCCAGCGGGGCTAGATGGTCATGTTAACATTATAGGGTCAGGAATACATGTAGTTGCACTGGTGACTATAGTGCCCCTTTTAAGCTGTAGTGGTTCTGCTGCTTAATGTCCCTTTTAGAAGAAACGCATCTGAGGTTTTTATTTCCGGTTTTTTCCCCTATTAAATTGTAAACTGAAAAGACAAACTAGAAAAACTACAAATACTTTGTCTATTTCCAGACACATCTCCCTAAGATGTTTTTTTTTATTTTTTTTTATATATATATTGTACAACAGTTTGCACTGTGAGTTAATGGTTAATTTCTAATTGTGTATGAAGTATTGGAGTAATTGAATTACTTCATATCTGTAGTGTTTTTGGCTTGTGTGAGTGCTTTTTATTTTATGATTGAGGAACACACCGGGCATCTGTACATGTTGGCATACTTTTACGGTGACTGCTTTGTGTGCCATAAAACCCTGCTGAGCAGCAGCAATTTGTGATCCTACAGCATTGTAATCTAAATCAAATGGTATATATTGGCCCAAATGGTTTCACAGATACTGTGGCAATGGTGTCTAATGATATTCTCTTAAAGGACCACTCTAGGCACCCAGACCACTTCAGCTTAATGAAGTGGTCTGGGTGCCTGGTCCAGCTAGGATTAACCCATTTTTTAATAAACATAACAGTTTCAGAGAAACTGCTATGTTTATATTAGGGTTAATCCAGCCGCTAGAGGCGTTTGCGTGCTTCTCACTGTGAAGATCACAGTGAGAAGATGCAAGCGTCCATAGGAAAGCATTATGAATGCTTTCCTATGAGACTGGCTGAATGCTCGCAGCTCCTGCCGCGCATGCCCATTCAGCCGAAGAGGAGGGAGGGGGTCCCTGGGGGTGGGGGGCGCCCTCAGTGCACTATAGTGCCAGGAAAACGAGTGTGTTTTCCTGGCACTATAGTGGTCCTTTTAACCGCTGCAGTGAGCTTTAGTGGTAAAGGTACTTAAAATTTCCTATTTAAAGCACTACTGTAGCTTATTTATCTTTCAGTTTTTTACTTTCCATATTTTATATCTTTAATGGGGCACTTCAGACCACTAAAGAGCTTTAGCTGACTGAAGTGAAGAGTGTATCTTCGTTTTCATTTTACAAAAAGTGCAATTTTCAATAGAAGTTTGCTCTTCTATAAATTGACCTTGCTACACTTTCCTAGCTGTCAGACAACTGATGCTGATACTTCCTGGTTGTTTAGCTCAATGAAGCTAAACTCAAGAGGAAGACAATTGCTCAGAGCACATGTCTTGCAAAAGCTTTGCATTGTGCTGCTTTGGGAAGTCTGTGATTGGACAGCCACATAAAGCCTGGACTGGGATAGAAGGGGATGGCTTGCTAAAGCTTCACACAAGAGATGCGCACCATTTGTGTGCACATGTTTTCAATGGGGGTGGGGGTGTCCCTTTAATATTTTTTACTTGCATTTTATGTATATTTATAATTTTCTTGTTTTGAATCTCAGTACACAGTTCCACTATTTAGTTCTCCTGTCCATGTTGTTTGCACTTCTGTGGGATCCTTTTGATTAATGGATTTGATAGATTGTGGGTGCATAAGTTTAACTGTAATGGATCCTTCCTTAAAGCGATACTGTAGACCCCAATACTATTTTTAGCTTAAAGGGACACTATAGTCACCAAAACACCTTTATCTTAATGAAGCAGTTTTGGTGTATAGATCATGTCTCTGCAGTCTCACTGATCCATTCTTTGTCATTTAGGAGTTGAATCACTTTGTTTATGCTGCCCTAGTCACACCTCCCTGCATGTCACTTGTACCACCTTCCTGAACACTTCCTGTAAAGAGATCTAATGTTTAAGCATCCATTATACACATTCTGTTTAATTTAGACTGTATCTACGGCAATGTTAATAGCTTGCTAGACTGTGTGTGTGTGTGTGTAAAGTTCAGTTTAAAGAGAAGATACATTACTTTAAACGCTTTTAACATCTAACTGAACGGAAATAAGTGATTTAGCTCCTAAACGGCAGAGACTTAAGCAGTAAAACAGCAGAGGCACGATCTATACACTAAAACTGCTTTAGTCTGCTAAAGTTGTCTTGGTGATTATAGTGTCCGTTTTAATTATGCAGTTTTGGTGTAACGATCATACACCTGCAGTCTCACTGCTCAATTCTCTGCCATTTAGAAGTTATCACTTTGTAAATGCAGCTTGGGAAACACTTCCCTGCATGTGACTCACAGCTTTCCTACACAGTTCCTGTAAAATGAGATCTGATGTTTACACTTCCTTTTTGTTTAATGTAGAACTTCTTGTCTCCTAGTCTAATAGCCTGCTAAACTCTGCAGGAGCCTCCTCTGGGTGATTAAAGTTCAATTAAAGGGAAACTATAGGCACACATCACTTAAAGGACCACTATAGTGCCCTGAGGGTGCCCCCACCCTCAGGGTCCCCCTCCCGCCCGGCTCTGGAAAGGGGTAAGGGGTTAAAACGTACCTTTTTCCAGCGCTGGGTGGAGAGCTCTCCTCTTCTCCTCCCCGTCGGCTGAATGCACACGCGTGGCAAGAGCTGGGCGCGCATTCAGCCGGTCACATAGGAAAGCATTCATAAAGCTTTCCTATGGACGCTGGCGTGCTCTCACTGTGAAAATCACAGTGAGAAGCACGCAAGTGCCTCTCTAGTGGCTGTCAATGAGACAGCCACTAGAGGCTTTGGGGGAAGGCTTAACCTATTCATAAACATAGCAGTTTCTCTGAAACTGCTATATTTATGAAAAAATGGGTTAACCCTAGCTGGACCTGGCACCCAGACCACTTCATTAAGCTGAAGTGGTCTGGGTGCATAGAGTGGTCCTTTAATTTCATTGTAGTGTCCCTGTTGCCTTAACTCCCTCACTACCATATTTTATGTCTAACTAACTAAAAATCTATGACGATGTAAAAATAAGAATAAAGGAACAAAAAAATAAAGGGGGGCTGGGGGGGAGGAGACCGGTCATATGACAGTATGGCCTTTAAAAATATGTAGGGTTAAAGCCACCTCCAGTGACTGTTTTCCTGACAACCACTACAGGCGCTTCTGCAGCACTGACAGAATAAAACTGTCTTTCTATGAGGAAGCTTTAGTGGGCGCTTGGTATGTGCTGTGCATGTACATCAGGTCCTCCAATTCTCCTCCTTGACCAGCTTTATATTGGACCATCGTGGATGAAGCCATACCACCTCCATAACATCGCGGGAAGAGGAGTGATAAGCAGCTCCTGGATGCTGGAAAAGGGGAAGTTTAAAAAGTGTATTTCTTACCCTATACCCTAAAATGATAAATGTGTATTCCTGACCCTATGGTGTTAAAAACACTATTTGGCCATCTGGCCCCCTCTTGCACCACTTAAATAAGTTGAATACTCACCTTTATTTTAGCGTCACACAGGTCTGTTGGCCCTTCCCGATCTGTTATGGTATGGAGATGCTGAAAGGAGTGGGGTTTTTTTGGTTGATGCATTTAAAAAAGAAGAAAAGAAAAAAAAGTGTGCTGGGTCATGCTGACATTACTTTTTCCTTCCTATGTAGCATTAAAGGATCACTATAGGGGCAGGAACACAAACGTATTCCTGACCCTATAGTGAAAATCCACCCTCAGAATGGTTAAAACTCACCTTATTTTCAGCTGTCTGCGCTGCCCCCACCCCATTGGTGACATCAAAAATGCCAATTTTCAGCCAATCCTAAGCTTTCATATGGGGAAAGCATTTGATTCGCTAAAATTGGGAAAGGGGGCTGGGCCAAACACTGTTTTGGCCAATCAGCACCTCCTCATAGGGATGCATTGAATCAGTGCATCTCTATGAGGAAAATTCAGTATCTCCATGCAGAGTGTTGGGATGCTGAACGGCAGGCAGGGCTGCTTACTGTGCAGCCCTGAGCCAGGAAGGCCCTCCAGTGGCCACTTGGAGGTGTCCCTAGGGGTAATGTAAACACTGCCTTTACTCTAAAAAGGCAGTATTTGCATGAAAATGCCTGAAAGTAGCTATTATACTCACCAGAACAACTACATTAAGCTGAAGTTGTTCTGGTTACCTTTAGTGTCCCTTTAAAATATAGTTGATACAATCAAGTGTTCTTCAGTACAACAGAGACTTGTTCTGGACATGAGAATTGTTAAAATGTATATTAGTCCTGCTTTTTCTCAGCGGAAATTAGTTCATTGCCACACGGCTTTAAATATTGTACTTTTTAACTATGGTGATTTATTTATTTTCGTATGTTAGCACATAGGTTGTCATTCTGTGTTGCCCTGAGACTATCTCCTGCTCCTCTCTATCTAATGATGGACTGTGCTGGAGAATGCTTCTTCAAACAAAAGCTGTGTCGTATTGGAGCAACATCTGTCACTTCTTTCCTATACAGTACTTCTATAGCAAGCAGAGGATGTGTTTGCTAGTGAAGCTTTAACTGCAGGTGAACCACCTGTAGAAGGGGTTCTTCTGCACTCCTGGTCATATAGGGTGGTCAAGAAAATCAGACCAAAATATGCTATAGGTTTTAAAGAAAATTTGTACATTTGCTAGGAAGTCTGATAGCATAGTGTATAGATTCAATTTTATTTATCATTTAAAGGGACCCTATAGTCACCAGAACTACAGCTTAATGTGGCTGTTCTGCTGTCAACACAATGTACCTGCATTTTTATTTTTTATAAAATGTTTATATTATACAGCATTGACATTTGGCAGTCCAGAACGAAACTTAGTATGTGCATCTTTTCAAGAGAAACACTGCACATACACATTGCTACCACCCTGACCTTTTTTTAAAAGTACCCTTTAACGCAACTCCACCGGGGATCTGTCTTTCTGAGGACTCTAGTAAGCATGGGTTTTGCAAAATGTTTCAAGGTAAAGTGCTTAGACTATTTCTTGAACCCCTTAAGCATCAAACTTCTGGACTAAAATTGAATCATGACATGTCACAGATGTCATGTGTCCTTAAGGGGTTAAAGCCACACTCATGCCAGGATATGCTTGTTTTAAGTGCAGTTTATAACCGTGCTGATTTCTATTTTTTTCTATTGCCACTTTTATAAATAACTGGAGGCAGTCGGGGAGGCTATCTTCCCCACTATGGCAGCTCTATAGAGCACCTCGGTGCTCATTTTACCCTTGCATCCTGTCTGGAAAGCTACTGGTGAGCTTTTAGTCTGTGATGGGGAATAAAAGAAGGACTTGAAAAGGCTGCAAACAAAAGATCATGCATGTTTTCATTAGGGGTATATCTACTAAATAACTTCTTGTTTTTGGAGTGAAATGTTCCTTTCTGTGCTTTCTGCAACGACGAGCACTTGGTTTTTAAGTATGGAAATCAGTTTGTTCTTTGGCCTTTCAAAGGAAGTGACTTGCATAACGTAACATGATTTGGCAATGTTCAAGCACTTCTATTGTGAATCAGACTGTACGCAAACCTTATCACATTACCATTTCATTTGATTGATTTTAGACTCTATAATAGTAATGGCTAACTTTTGGCTAGCTAAGCATCATAGGCAAATGTCCACCAGCTTCTGTGCCAAACATAATACCTACTCTATGTAGATAGGTATTTTTAGGCCTGTTGCGTAGGTGTTTGATTTCTTTATTAATTAGTTTGATTTACATAGTAACATCATGAAATCAATCGTGCTTTTTTCTAAAGAAGGGTATAAATATTATACATATTATAAATAGACCCCTTGCCTTAGATACTTTAATTATATTGTAGTAATTAAAGCATAACTTTCAGCAGACTTTACTCCTGTGGAAGTTTTTATGGTGCTTATTAATCCTTTTTATTGTGTAATCCGTTCCCTAGTGCACACAGTATGTTAGTTTGTATATAGCACTGTTGCTAATATAATACTTCATATGACCTGTAACAGGTCTGGAGCTTGTAAGTGTAATCTTGGGTCTATTGTATTCCTAAACATCCTTAGACATAACTAGTGATGTTATGGGGCAGAGCTTTTCTGTGCAAGAATATCTTTGAAGAGTGTTTTATGTGACTTATGTTTAACTACTCCCATCACTCTGTCCATTTAAATTTCACTTATTTATTTTTCTGCTTTATTCACGTTGTCGTCTTCTAGGATTTTAAGGGAATTCTAAATACTCTGGAGCAGGGGTCCTCAAACTGCGGGCCACATCCGGCCTGCCAGGGTCCTGAACCTGGCCCAAGCACTCGGGGCCACCCGATGGACCCTATATCTTCAGGGCCCCCATAAAAAAAAAAATCACAGCCGCAAGTACTGCTGGGAGGAACTGACGGCCAGAGGTCACTTCCTCCCAGCTCCCACGGGAGGGAAGGGAGCCACCAACTCCCATAAGCTACAGCCACCCTCCTGCAAAAAGTATGCAAAATTAGCGCTGTGTATGTATGTATGTCAGTCAGTATGTATGTATGTGTCTGTGTGAATTTAAGTATGCTTGTCTGTTTGTCAGTGTGTGCACGCGCGCATAGGAATTCGTTGATATATTTTATAGTCCGGCCCCCGACAGTGTCTGAGGGACCTTGAACTGGCCTCCTGTTTAAAAAGTTTGTGGACCCCTGCTCTGGAGTTTACACCGTATTTAACAAAAAACAAAACCTTGAAAACCTAACTTGTGTTAACGTTATTCACCTTCTGATTCTGCTTTTCGATTTGCACCAAATGCAAATTACATCACAATCCGGGCGCAGCCATGCCATACACTGTAAAAAGAGAAGAGTAGAAATAGAAACTTTGAAATCTCTGTAAAGGATTTCCCTGTGTTCATTCGGTTGTGTCCTCTCCCTGCTCTTTAACTAGCTTTGAACGTTTCGTTTTAATTTTGTGTTCAGGAAATGTATTCGTTCTGCTGAACGGAGACCACCCTGGGTAGCAATCAGAATTTGGAAAACCGAGTAATCACACTAAAAACCGCAACTTAATTGAGTGCCCCTAGGTGGCCGCCATTCGGCATACGAACACGTGGCAAGAACAAAGGATGGCGGCCATCTTAAATCTCCCTAATGCGGCCAGCGGGACTTACTCGTGGATTGCCTGGAACTATTTTCGGCATGGCAATCACACGAACGTCCGGTCATTATGGAAGTCCCGTCTGACCTATTTCCACTCATAGTATCAAACCAGCGTTCGGAGGTTTAATCTACCAAACGAGGGGCGCACTCTCATGTAACCAGCCACAACATATCTATGGTAGTTTTCGTGTAATTCTGCGTGAACGGAGACCGGCTCTTGCTACTGATTTCATGGAACTCTAAATCGGATACCACCACATGGCGAGCTGGTCAAACTTCCACACGATGCAACACGGAAACTACCGAACTGATTTTTGTGAAATTGGGGCATGTGACTCCCAGTATCCTCAGCTACCCAGGGATGTGGTTATATATTTCTATGTTATGCAGAAAATATTTTTCAAAAATGTTGAAAATTGTAATGTTTCTGGCCAGCAGATAATTGAGTTTAGTATGTTGCTGAAACTCAATTATTTAGCCTGGCCCAGAGGAGGAGTCTGTTACTATATAAATTGAATGCCTGTTGCTTCCAGTAAATAAGTCTTGTTCCAGCATTAATCTTTGGCTCATATGTGGATTATTTGGCGATACCAGCGATATTTATTTATTCCTGTGGATTATTATTATTCTGCTACGGGGAAAAAAGGAATACTGGACGGTGATACAGTTTACTACCGTCACAATCTCTGTGGTGGCCACCAACTGCAGAAGAAAGCATTTATAGCAATGATTGACAGGGAAGCAGGCTTGAACCATTTTCACGATAAATAGGTATTAATTTCTACGTTTTTATTTTTCACACCTCACAAATATATTTTTTTAAATAAACATTTAAAAAAAAAAAAATACAGGTACGTGACACATTCCCTCTTTAAAAGAATTCCGCACATGTATATTCTAAATTGTATGTGGCACTATTTATAAAAGCACATATCAGTGTTATAGGGTCAGTCGTTTATTCAAGTTTGCTACTCTGTGGTATATTGCAGAATGGAAATTTTAATTAATGTAATCAGAATTTTTCTGTATCTTTCCTTTTTGTTTTCTTTCAGTATATGATTTCTTTACATGGCAGTACTTTGCATATGCTGTCCATTGTCCTGTGAAAATTGTGTCCAGGGAAAGATGGTGGCATAGAGCATCATTGCTGACATTAAGGGGACACTATAGCCACCAGAACTACAGCTTAAAGAAACACTAGAGCCACCAGAACTACTACAGCTTATTGTATTGTTGAGTATAATCATTCCCATAAGGCTTTTTGCAGTAAACGCTGTCTTTTCAGAGATGCCTCCAATGGCCGCTATTCATATGGCTACTGGAGCTGCTTCCAGGGGCAGTGCTGCCATTCAGTCTGTTGGCCGATACAGATATTGCTTAAAATACAGAATATCGGCCAAACCGATGATAGATCCCTAGTATTCAATGCATCTCTATGACGAGATGCTTATTGGGCTGTGATTGGCTTGTGCTGGCTTTGCCCATGATCTGCCTCCTTGACAGTCTTAAGCAAACCTGTTAGCAGATTGTGACTTACACATGTTGCCAGAACAGCGTAATTGCTCTTGTTAATAGTTATGTATCTCTTATTATTAATTGCACGTAGTGTACCTATTTATATATAATTTTTTTATTATTATTTATTTTAGATTGTCCAAGCTATAGGTATGGAACATCTGATTGCTGTTCTTAAAGAGATGTGATTGAATGTGTGTGTGAAACTGGAGTGAAAAGTGTGAATGTATTAGGGAAGCTTGACTCTTAATACCAAATCTACTTGTGAACATTGAAAATAAATTACTTCTGTAATAGATTTCACAGCACAACCTTACCTTTCAATAAATAAGCATTATGATTAAAGTCTTGGATGTGGCATTGCTAACATCTTGGCTCGTGTTAGTGAGGCTCCGTTTTGAGAACAGGTTTGCTCTTGAAATTGTGTGAGTAATTTCCTTACACAAGTCCTGGATATGTCGCCTTTGCCAAAAGATGAGCAATACACAGAGAAATAACTAACAATGGCGCTGCGTTTATTTATGAACTGTATGCCTCCTAATACTCGACTAGCAGACACTGTTGGACATGTAGTCCCAAACGATGTTAGTGATCACGAATACACAACAAAATCTTCTAATAGTGTGCATTCTAACATGGCAACGGTTTCCATTCCTTCCCTAAATTGACCCCTACAATTTATCTGATACAACTTATCTTTTTCAGTTTTAGTTGTACAAAGTGGCAGTGGTACATTTATCAGCTATATAGCTACAATTGATTACAGCTGCCCTGCTTTCACAGGTCTGTTACCATGCCTTTCAGTGGCTAATTTGTTAAATTTCACTGATATTTGAAATGGTTTTATCTTGCAGAGCATGCATTTCATTTGGCCCCAAGAACAGAGCAATTGGAGCAGCAGCAAAAGGCCAGGTAAGTAAGCAACTAGAGTGTAAGGAATAAATATTTGCATTCCTTAAAGATAAAATTGTTGGTGGCAACCTGGGTTTTGCTGATAATATAGGTGTATGATATGTTTAATACAGATTGTATCCTAATGTTTTCACTTATCACCTTACTCAGTTTGTACATTGTGAGTACTGTGAAGTGTTGAACACCATTATAGAAGAATGGGAACCTAGTAAACCGTTTTCAAAGTCCAAAGTAATCATTCAGTAAGGATCCTTAATCCATTTAACCCCCATAGCAGACTTCAGACCCACCTGGCCTTGTATCTTGGTGAACTTTCAGGCCTTCCTTGTTGGTCACCTTTATTCTGGGTAGCTAAGCTCAAATTCAGAAAGATTCTGCAAATCTGAACCAGCACTAGTCTCTTGCTCCACAAACCTGTTTGTTCTCAGGACCAAAGGTACATATATGATCATTAAAGTAACCAATGCGCCTTTAAAAGGTGTTTGTAGTATAATCGAAAACAGACTTTCTAGGTTTATGAACAGTCCTCAGTCTTTTCTAGCTGTCCTTCAGAACCAAAATATGTTGTGTGGTTTTTTTTTTTTTTTTTGGTTTTTTTTTTTGCCAAAGGGTCACCATAAGCTATCTTTCCTGCAAACATGCCTTCACAAAATGTTTAATGGAATCCACTGAGCATGAGGAATTAGGATTGTTTGCTTAGTAGTGTTAAAAGATTTGTCTTTGTAAGAGATACAGAAGTTGCACCCTAGAGAGATTTTATTAAATTCATTAGAATCATAAAAGTCTGGTTCTTTTTCTTCAATCTGTATGAATAGACATTTGCTTCTGGTTGCCATATTTACCAATTTTCCATTAGTTGTCATGCACACAATGCTTAGTACATTTGAATGGCAGTTCCTTGTGCATGGATGTGTGTAGGATCCTGCCGTTATGCTGGGCATGTTTGAAGAGGGAAGATGGCAGTAGAAGATCTTAAAGGATCACTATAGTGTCAGGAAAACCGGTTTTCTTGACCCTATGGTACCCTGAGGGTTCCCCCACCCTCAGGGTCCCTCTCCTGTGGTGCTGAAGGGGTTAATTTTAATTACTCACCTTCTTCCACCGCCGGGCTCTCTTACATCTCCTCCCCTGCTGGTGTCAGCGGAGTGGAATGCGTATGCGCGACAGTGCCGCGTGCTCTTCAAAGTGTCAGTAGGAAAGCATTTTTCACTGCTTTCCTATGGACGCTCTGCGTGATTGAGGCATAATATGCCTCCAGCTTCGCAGATGCGCCTCTAGTGGCTGTCTGAACCCCAAATGTAAACATAGCAGTTTCTCTGAAACTGCTATGTTTACAGCAGGCAGGGTTAACCCTAGAGGGACCTGGCACCCAGACCACTTCATTGAGCCGAAGTGGTCTGGGTGACTATAGTGTCCCTTTTAAGATGACTTTAATTTCTCCCTTCCTTCTTACATCCAGATGCCACCAACTGTTGCACGTTTTAACTTGAGGTTGTCTTCATAAAAATGCAGAGGATCTTACAATTGACATCACCTCTTGTTTTATAGAGAACCTAGTTTTGCAGTGGTTCTCCAACCAAAATGTCATGGGTACATGCTGCTATTGAATGCCTGTTGCCAGCATGCTCTACACCCTGGCAACAGATGTCCAATTTATAGGAAATGGCTTGTTCCGGCTGTCTAAAAATGTCCCAATGGCACTGCAAGAGGTGGAGTTACATTTCTAGTGGCGAAGGGGTTAAACTGTCTCTGCAATGTTTTTTGTTTCTAAATGTTGCATATAGACTCCAAGCACCAGACTGCTTCAAATCACAAGTGTTCATATTACTAGAAGTAACTCTTTAAGGTGTGGTATGAATAAGGCTAGAGCATGATTTATTTAGTAGACAAAGCAGGCGCACCATGGCAACTTGAGCAAAACCAAACATTGATAGCGTTTCAGGCAGATTTTGTATGGGTTTTTCCTACTTTCATTTTTCATTGAGCTTCCTTTTCTGTCACCTGAATCTGTGTGTTGGAAATAAATATATCCTACTGATAATGTAGTTGTAATAATGTGCTGACATTATGTGCTCTGCTTCCTCTAGGTGATTTCAAATGCAAAGAACACATTACAAGGCTTCAAAAGGTTCCATGGCCGAGCTTACACAGATCCCTTTGTACAGTCGGAAAAACCTGGTAATGCTTACGAGCTTGTTGAGTTGCCAACAGGTGCAACTGGTTTCAAGGTGAATAAAGTGAAATCATTTTTTTTTCCTGCAGTGTGTATCAAACGACTGCATATTACTTTCTCATTGTTTGTTTAAATGTGTTTCCTGCCCGTGTTGTAATATTATGGAAAAGAGACTCAGTCATAAACATGTGGTTTTGTAGTACTGCCGATCATTTTTATTTATACATTGTGCTGGCCAAATTGTTAATGCGTGTGTAGAAAGTAAATGATTATACTTGGTTTACCTATCGATGCACTTTTAGTGCCAAGTACCATCGCAGAAGGGAAACTGCAGAGAGGCTCTGGAAATAAATGTGAGCAGCTTAATGAGCTGGCTGTCTTGTACAACTTATTGTGGGAAGCCATGCACTGCCTACGTTCACTATTTGAATGACATAATGGACTTTAAGTTAGATATGTGTATATCTTACAATATGTCGATTGTGTTTTGATAGTTAGCGTGTCTCTTAAAATTTGTATATTTTTAAATGTCAGTTGTAATTTGTGTATTAATGTTTGTTGTTGTGGTGAATAGTAATAATTGTGCTTTGCACAGGTTATGTACCTTGAAGAGGAGCGAAGTTTCACTGCGGAGCAAATTACAGGAATGCTGCTGAGTAAGCTGAAAGAGACTGCAGAGAGTGCACTCAAGAAGCCTGTGGTGGATTGCGTTATTGCTGTGAGTAACTGTCCAAAATGTGTAAAATAAATAAAATGTTGATTACTAAATCACTTGATATACTAGTGATGGATAACTCTAACTTGCTTTCAGCCATTCATTGCTGTTCTGGTTGGACACATTTGATAATGGAGAAATAACTTTCATTGACACTAATATGACTTCTGAACAGTTTGTCATAAAACACCAGGTGGACGGGGCACAGATATCATGCATCTTACCTTGCCATGGGATGTCAGAATGTATATTATCATATATTCATCCACCTATCTTTTGTCAGGTTCCCTGTTTCTTCACTGACGCAGAAAGGAGGTCTGTAATGGATGCCACACAGATAGCTGGACTCAACTGCCTAAGGCTGATTAATGAAACTACTGCAGGTAATGTATGATGTAAAAGCAGGTTTATTTGGCGCTTTACCATCCGTATTACAGGGATTAAAATAGGGGACTATAATAGGTGTAGATTAGCACGGTACCTTATAAAACCTTGCATTACATTAGGAGTCATGATGGGACAAGGAAGATGTGATGTTTTTGTTTCAGCACTGATCGTAAATATGCAATGGCAACTTTCTTTATCAAAGTTGCTCTTTGCATTTTAATTGATATATCTCTCTCTTCCGATGTTTTGGACTACAAAACGAGCATTATGGGGGATGTAGTACACAACATCTGGAGTGCCGAAGGTTGCCTATCCCTGGTCTAGTATAACTGTAATTTTGCTCTCTGATCCTAGCATGGAGATTGAAACATCCGTTTCAAAGTTTATTCCTGTGCCAGAAATATTGCCAGTGTAGTTTGGAACTGGTAATATGAAATTAAAGCAGTTCTGTTGCTTTTTGTTTTTTTTTGTAATGATAGGATCTGTACGAAAACCTCTTGTAGACTTTGTGTAGGAATTATTTATTTTATTCCCAGCACAGTAAAATGATAAATACATGATACAATAGGAACTGCTAGTACTTTGTCTTATACAAGTGCTGATGTTTGGCTATGGATGAAACTTTTTAATCCTACCACTTATTGTTAGCCATCAGTCTCATTGGTAATTGTAACAGGCATCGTATCTGGCAATAGATACATATGGCTTATTACTCATACTTTCTTTTCTTTATGGAAGATCTAGCAGGATCTTCCTTGGACCCAGTTTTTGTACTCTTAAACATCCATCAAAGTGCAATATAGATGATTGCTCCTAAGGTGAAGCCTACAGGAGCTGAAACAAAATAGCAGAAGAACAATGGATGCTGGAAGGAAAAATTTAGGAAACACATGTCTCCACCAGTTACATTGTCACTTTAAGTCAAAGTTTGGAATTGTGTGTTGTAGAAGATTTTAGTATAGTGCAGTAGTTTGTGAACTGCTAGTTCTCATTATGTCTTTATTTTTCCTCCAGTTGCCCTTGCTTATGGAATATATAAGCAAGATTTGCCTGCCCCAGAAGAGAAGCCAAGGATTGTGGTATTTGTGGACATGGGGCACTCTGCATATCAAGTGTCTGTCTGTGCTTTTAACAAGGGCAAGCTGAAAGTAAGTACATTTTTCTTTTCACAGTTTGTTTTAAATGTTCCCTCAAATTAATCATGTGTTTCCCTCCAAATTGCATACCTTGAGTGAGCTGTGGCCATGCCTTATCATATGTGGGAAAAACTCCTTCCCTGTGGAGTTTTAATTTTTCATGTGCAGGAATTATATATTTCTATGAGTATCTGCATAAGATGTTAATGGGGTTATTCAGTAAAGTCCAGATGCACTTCAGATTGGTAACATTTTGTTAAATTTATCAAATTCAAAGTGTGCAATTGTATAAACACAAGGTTGAATTTAGACCATTTCAACTAACTGAGCGCACCCTCCAGTGTCAGCTTGAGAATATGCAAATCTTGAAAAAAATATGGGATTTTCATCTTTATCAGTCAGCAAATCTCAACTGAATTTACTCGAAACAAATCTGGTACCAGGAATATTCACGATGATTTAATTTTTTTGTAAGCCAGCCTTGAGAAATGTAAAACCGGCAAGCAGGTAATTTTTTTGAAACTGTCCAAAAATGACTAAAATCTAAACATCGTATGACTTTGTTTAGGTATTTTGGACCCCTTAATGGAGCTTATACTTTTTCTTTCAAAAAAAGGCGATCAAATTTGTGCTAATGACACTTTTTTGAAATAAGTTCTGTTAGAATTTGGCAAAATTTGATTGGCCTTAATTTGCAGGGAGTAAGATGCTAATTCTGTCTTATCTTATTACCATTGTATTTAAACATTCCACTTTTAGATTTCAGCTGCTTATTTCACTGCTGTACTCACATTGAGGTATATGTAGGATCGTGCGAGACCTCAAGATCCTCCATAGACAGAGCCAATTCCCTGCAGCTGTTACTGGTGACTGCTGGGGGGGGGTGATGACCATATTTTTTTATTTATAAAGTTCCAACAAGGTCCGTTGCGCTGTACAATGAACTACACTACGATGTTTAGCCAGCCTTGAAATGATTATAGAACTAGTTGGTGATTTCTTAAAATGCGGAATCTCATAGTGGGCATCTTTCAGCTATGTTTTGTATACCAGACATGCCCAAGTGAATTGTGCTTGGCAAAACGGTCCCACAAGATTCATGTAGATTTTTGCAGTGCGTTATACAGTGATTGCATTCCCATCCTGTCACTTGCGATCCTTTTCATGTTCATGGAGCTGCAGCACTGGTTTCTCCACAGTTTGGCCATTTATTCGGTTTTGTCATATAGTATAAATAGTAGCTTGTTTCTGCCAATGGTAAATCTTCTACCCAGCCTTACTATGGCTTCTACGTGGTTAGAATACTTGCTACATTTTGCTGGGTGATTATCATCTTCTGTAGCATGTCTTCTCTTAAAGGCTTAAGTTGTTTTAGGAGGCAGTAGACATAACCTTAACATGTTGAAGATGCTGATTTATTTTAAAGTATTCGTTGAATATTCAATTCATATTGTTATAATTACAGTAAACCTATTCATCTTTGTTTTTGTTGTGAACTTGAATACTGTCATGTAAAAAAATAAAAAATATATAATCACACACAGTGATAAAAATATATTGAATTTTTAAAAAAATTTTTTTTTAATAATGTGATTTTGAGACTTACAATTTATATATGTAATTTCTCATTCTTCTAGGTTCTAGCTACTGCCTTCGATTCAACATTGGGGGGGAGGAAGTTTGATGAGGTTTTGGTCAACTATTTCTGTGAGGAGTTTGGTAAAAAATACAAGTTGGCAATCAGGTCGAATATCAGGCCTTTGCTGCGCCTTGCACAGGAGTGTGAAAAACTGAAAAAACTGATGAGTGCAAATGCTTCTGAGCTGCCGCTGAATATTGAATGTTTTATGAATGATATTGATGTCTCTGGATCAATGAACAGGTAAGAGAATTACATTATTTTAAACATGTTATCATGGTGCCCCGGTTTTCGGATTCCATGTTTTCTGCTTTTATTTGTGTTTGATAGACTAATTATTACCAAATCCCATTTTTTTCTATAAAGACCTAGAAACATATTTCCCTGTAAGCACTTTTTGCTATTTATATGTGGCCACTGTCTTTTTAACAGTCTGAAGCAGCATTCTTAATTTAGTATAAAATAATCTTATCTATACTTGTCTAATGTATAGTTAGTGAATACTGTATTTGACTGTAGAGAATGCCTCCCTCAAAAGGTTTAGTGTAAAGGCTAAATAACCTTTTATGCCTTTTATTGATATGAAAGACTCTGATTTTCAGGTGATAGTGTGCACAGTGTTCTGATTTCTGTGCCCATTTTCAAGCAATGGTTTTAGGGTTAGTTTTTCATCATGGTTCCTGACGAGAAATTGCCCTGCACACAATGAACAAGTAATGGCAATGAACAAAAAAATACCAGATCTTTACACAATGAAATATTACATAATACTTTAAATGAACACTATAGGGTCAGAAACACACATGTATTCCTGACCCAATTCTGGAGCTGTTGCCTCTGTCTTCTGACATCATCAGAAGTGGTGATCTGAGCCAATCACAATGCTTCCCCATAGGATTGGCTGAGACTGTCGAGGAGACAGATCAGGGGCAGAGCAGCACAAATCAAACACAGCCCTGGCCAATCAGCATCTCCTCATAGAGATGAATTGAATCAATGAATCTCTGAGGAAAGTTCCGTGTCTGCATGCAGAGGGAGGAGACACTGAATGTTTGAATGCATTTTAGGCAGCCATGACCCAGGAAGGATCTCTAACAGCCATCTAAGGAGTGGCCAGTGAAGTTATCACTAAGCTGTAATGCAAAACACTGCATTTTCTCTGAAAAGACAGTGTTAACAGCAAAAAGCCTGAAGGTAATGATTCTACTCCTCAGAACAAATGCAATAAGCCGTAATTGTTCTGGTGACTACAGGGAGTGCAGAATTATTAGGCAAATGAGTATTTTGACCACATCATCCTCTTTATGCATGTTGTCTTACTCCAAGCTGTATAGGCTCGAAAGCCTACTACCAATTAAGCATATTAGGTGATGTGCATCTCTGTAATGAGAAGGGGTGTGGTCTAATGACATCAACACCCTATATCAGGTGTGCATAATTATTAGGCAACTTCCTTTCCTTTGGCAAAATGGGTCAAAAGAAGGATTTGACAGGCTCAGAAAAGTCAAAAATAGTGAGATCTTGCAGAGGAATCCAGCACTCTTAAAATTGCAAAGCAACAGGGTCGCAAGAAGCGTGTGGAAAAACCAAGGCGCAAAATAACTGCCCATGAACTGAGAAAAGTCAAGCGTGCAGCTGCCACGATGCCACTTGCCACCAGTTTGGCCATATTTCAGAGCTGCAACATCACTGGGGTGCCCAAAAGCACAAGGTGTGCAATACTCAGAGACATGGCCAAGGTAAGAAAGGCTGAAAGACGACCACCACTGAACAAGACACACAAGCTGAAACGTCAAGACTGGGCCAAGAAATATCTCAAGACTGATTTTTCTAAGGTTTTATGGACTGATGAAATGAGAGTGAGTCTTGATGGGCCAGATGGATGGGCCCGTGGCTGGATTGGTAAAGGGCAGAGAGCTCCAGTCCGACTCAGACGCCAGCAAGGTGGAGGTGGAGTACTGGTTTGGGCTGGTATCATCAAAGATGAGCTTGTGGGGCCTTTTCGGGTTGAGGATGGAGTCAAGCTCAACTCCCAGTCCTACTGCCAGTTCCTGGAAGACACCTTCTTCAAGCAGTGGTACAGGAAGAAGTCTGCATCCTTCAAGAAAAACATGATTTTCATGCAGGACAATGCTCCATCACACGCGTCCAAGTACTCCACAGCGTGGCTGGCAAGAAAGGGTATAAAAGAAGAAAATCTAATGACATGGCCTCCTTGTTCACCTGATCTGAACCCCATTGAGAACCTGTGGTCCATCATCAAATGTGAGATTTACAAGGAGGGAAAACAGTACACCTCTCTGAACAGTGTCTGGGAGGCTGTGGTTGCTGCTGCACGCATTGTTGATGGTGAACAGATCAAAACACTAACAGAATCCATGGATGGCAGGCTTTTGAGTGTCCTTGCAAAGAAAGGTGGCTATATTGGTCACTGATTTGTTTTTGTTTTGTTTTTGAATGTCAGAAATGTATATTTGTGAATGTTGAGATGTTATATTGGTTTCACTGGTAATAATAAATAATTGGAATGGGTATATATTTGTTTTTTGTTAAGTTGCCTAATAATTATGCACAGTAATAGTCACCTGCACACACAGATATCCCCCTAACATAGCTAAAACTAAAAACAAACTAAAAACTACTTCCAAAAATATTCAGCTTTGATATTAATGAGTTTTTTGGGTTCATTGAGAACATGGTTGTTGTTCAATAATAAAATTAATCCTCAAAAATACAACTTGCCTAATAATTCTGCACTCCCTGTATAGTGTCCCTTTAATTTGAATAGCCGCAACCTTGTGTGGCAGCTGCTGCCAGGAAGTACTACTACAATATTGGGTCTTCTGTTAAAAGAAACCATACATTTGCACCTTAAATTACCATGCAATAAAGATACATGATGCTGTGTGTATTAGAAGATTTTTATTTCTGGGTATTTCAGACATTTATACACAAATTGACATGTTGAGTCATAGTTTATGTGGATGTTTTCATAATTCCTTGATGGCATTGTTTTAAGAATATTTTAGAGTATATTCAGAGCCACAAAACAAGACTTTAGGAATGTTTTATTGCTTTTCTAGCTCACAGTTTGTGAGATTATTTCCTAAAGGACCACTGACGCTGCTAATTCCCATTTCAATAAGTATTTTACAAGCAATAGTATGAACCAAAAGCTGACTTATCTTGTGTATTAAATGTATAGAAGTGAATTCCAAGTGTTATGGGAAAAAGGCTATAATATTTTTCATATTTTGGCCTTTTTAAAAGTTTCACATATGTAGACGCCTCTTGTTTTTAATAAGTGGGCTTTATACCTTTTTCTGATATTTCTATTTCATGATAACACATTGGAAAATGCTTGTATATAATCACAGAGTAAGCCTATTTCCATTGGAGTTCAAATACAGAATGCTGTCTGTTATATCCTGTCACTAGAGCCTATAAAGTTTTGTTTTTCAGCTGAATCTTTGTTACAAGCATTTTGTTTTTCTTTATAAAGGGGACATTTTGAAGAAATGTGTGACAGTCTTTTATCTCGTATTGAGGCACCGCTACGCAGCATTTTGGAACAAGCCAGTAAGTACATACAATTTACTACTAGTAATTAACATTATCAGGACATTGAGATGATTTCACATGGGACATCTCTAACCGTTTTATTTAAAAAAAAAAAAAAAAAAAATTGTTTTTTGAATTGAATCCTTTCTGGTTTTTATTCTCATTTTCGCTATTCAGCTTTTTTTCTACTTTTTCCTTCCTTCCAGTGTTATCTTTTTGTGTGTGTTTCCTGTTTTTCGGTGGGTGTTTAAGGATGTTTTAAATGACTTGCTTTACTCGGCCTGGATAAATCTGTTCTCTATTCTGATTTGACAATTTACGGTTCTTTTCTTGGTATAACTTAGGGAAGTTTAATTTAGGTCCCTAGTAGACCAAAACCAAATGCCTTTGTGCCTAGCACCAATATATTCTATTTTTGCTGTTCATCCTCTATTCGCATCCTTCCCACAACCTTCATTGCATTATATTTTACGCATTACTAGTGCTTTTTGTTATGATTTATCCTATTCACAAGCTTTTCATTCCCTTTAAAGTTTGCTATGTGGTCTTTGAGAAAATGTTAAACTGTCTATTTCACTGCCCTATTGTCACTTACCAGTTACTTCCTTGTCTGTTTCCCTCAGTGGAGCTAAACTCAAAAGGCAAGCAATTTCCCTGTGATCAGGCAGCCACAGATAGATGGGGTTTAACATGAAGGAGGGGGAGGGCTTGCAAAGGCAGCAGACAGAAGAACTGCAGCCTTTACAAGCTGTTTTCAGATATACCCCCAATGGAACAAATGCATAATTGCATGCTTGCTTTCATTTGGGCTATAAATACTAAAGAGTGGTGTGTGTGTGTGTGTGTGTGTGTTACATTCTCAAAGAACCACATTGATGCACCAAAACAACTATAAAGATGTAGTGGTTATAGGTCCTCAGTGTACCTTTAATGCACTCAACACTTGAGACACTAATAAAATAGGACATTTGCTTGGTTTCTTACAGAATGCTTTGGGTTTTAGAGTCTGATTCTATAGAAAAAATGCAAAAAACATTTAAAGGCAAATTTTTAAAAATTATTTTCAAATTTATTTTCATAGAGCTGAAAAAAGAAGATATTTACTCTGTAGAAATAATCGGTGGTGCCACTCGAATTCCTGCCGTTAAAGAACGAATAGTAAAGTACTTTGGTAAAGAGGTCAGCACAACCTTGAATGCTGATGAAGCTGTAGCTAGAGGATGTGCTTTGCAGGTTTGTATTTTGGAGACTGTTCAAGCAGTATCAGTTTGCTGGCTGTCTTGAGTTTTTCAATAAATCGTCACTGTCGCTTATCGGTATTTTTAAAAAGATGTTTCTAAGATTCCCATTTAAACTTTTGTCTTATGAGGTCTTCTCAGCTTCAAAGATATTCCAACAAAGTCAGTCTAATGTAGATTTCCAACTTTATAGCTATCAGACTGTTGGTGATGAGTACTGGGAAAAGCTATCTGCACAAGTGGTTTTATGGATGTTCCTGCTGTGTCATGGAATAGATTTCTATATTGTGGTCTTTTGTGTGACAACCACCAGGAAATTAGGAGACTTTAAAGTGTGCTTTTTCACTGGCCCACAGCACATAAAGTGGGGAGGTTGAGGTTGAGCTGGGTGGCCAGTGATAGTATGTACCATTTCTCTCAAAGGGAGGCCAGTGATAAGCTGAGGCCGAGTGTATCAATTAACTCAATCACCAGCCACAATGCTAAACCTTACTCATAAAAAACTTATAAAATCGAAAACCTAACTCCAACACTATATCAGCACAGGTTAATGACCACACAATAGCAGCATTGGTAAAGAGCAATACAAATAGTAGCATAAAAGATTGTATAGCTGAAAGTGCATGAAACACTGTAGCATTCAAAATCCAAATAGTCAATTCTGAAAGTCTTATATCCACATAAGTAGGAGATGCAGTGTATATCAATACTGGGAATAGGTGTCCTAATTAGATCTGAAGCTTAGAGTCTGTTTTTAAAAGCCAAATTCCGTTATCAATGGTTAAGGCTGGCTTTTTTCACGTTGTGTTCACAAATAATTTCTTGTATCTTTAGAAAACGTCTTAACATTTGTTAGACTACAGGGACTATCTTTTTGCACAGAACCACTACATTAAGTTTTTTCCGGTTCCTGACTTTTTCCTAATTGAAGTGTTTTCTGTGACTAGTGGAATAGACCAGATAAGCTTTTTTTTTATTTATTTTTTGATTATGGTATCACTTTGTTTTTGCAGTGTGCAATTCTTTCTCCAGCTTTCAAAGTGAGAGAGTTTTCAATCACTGACTTGGTGCCATATTCTATTTCATTGAAGTGGAATTCTCCAGCAGAGGAAGGATTAAGGTGAGACTGAGGCCATTATTTTATTTTGTGCACTAGTGACTACCTAAAAATAGTTTACAAAAATATTTTGGGTGGGGAGGTTGAAGGGGAAATGTCTTAAAATGTATTCCATTGTCAATTATTGGATTAGTGAATAACATTGTTAATAGATGGTTATAAATGTCTGACCTTTTTGGGCATACGTTTAGATGTAGATGAGGACACAGTTTAAAACAAACTATTTTTTGTAAATTAGAACCTGTTTTTCAAACATATTTTTAGTGTCTTTCTAATACGTATAATATTCATTTCTAGTTTTAGAAGTTTATTTTTGCAGTTCCAAATAGTAATTATTTGATTTTTAACTGCATTGTTTTGCAGTCTGTCATGTTTATTTTTGTGCTTTCAATTTTTATATTTAGTGATTGTGAGGTATTTCCGAAAAACCATGCAGCTCCATTCTCGAAAGTGCTTACTTTCTACAGGAAGGATCCTTTCACACTTGATGCTTATTACACCACACCAAAGGAACTGCCCTATCCTGATCCCTCCTTAGGTAAATACAACCGTTCTCGAAGTGCTCTGCAATGCTGACCTGTAAGGGTACAATCTGAATCTCACATGTGCATGTTTCAATTTTGGTAAACATGTTTAAAAAGTTCATGTAAATACTATACTTTGATCTTGTTCTAAATGACTTAATCAGTTGGTCATGAAGTCTCTTAAAGGAACACTCTTTAAACTAAAACTGGAAACCATTGATTTTTTTTTTTTTTGATTTAGACTAGTGATCTCATCCAAAATAGGGCTTAAGTTACCTGTATTCTAGTGTAGAGATCGATTATTCTCCAAAGTTCGATCTGCCTTCTGTGATATTTTCAATTCTGATATACATTTTTCCAGTCGGATGCTTCTCAAACAGAAACACTGAGAACAGCACTTGTGTAATAATCTCTGCGATCCACCAGTCCAGTGCTTCTTTGAGAATCACTGGAAGCACACAGATTGAAATATCAGCATACTTTTCATTCTCACTCCAGACTCTAAATTTATTTAGTAAGTCTGTTTGTGTCAAGCCACTAGTGTGCCTTCTAGACTTGTTCTTTGTTTTGGCTGATTCGTCTGAATCAAATTCCTTTGTATCCACACCTGAACGAATCAATCCATCTGCTATTTAACTCTAGAGTTTTATGTAATGAATAAGGCTCCACGGGTAAACATGCGGTTTCTCAAAAATGGGACTCTCTACAACTGCTTTGACAGGTCAGCATCTATGTCACCTAAATCACAATTTTAATATGAAGTGATTTTGATCATTCGATTGTCTTTTAAGGTGATGGCTATAATTCAGTTACACCTTCTTCTAGAAATGGTTTGCGATATCTACTGTTCCCTAAAATAGAAGGCCCTTTTTTTTCTGAGATTTTCTTTTCCTTTTTTTTTTTTTTTTTCCGGCAGATATTGATATGGAAGCACTTTATTTAAATTTTAGTGCAAACGTATTTAACCCTTTGGGCTGTATTTTTGGGCAGATCGTTTCTTTAAATATTTAGTAAATTAAATGTTGCTTTAGGTTTAAAAAAATTCTCCTTTGAAGCTTCGGTAGAGGAAATCTAAAGCATTTGTGCTTGTGGTTTTTTTTTTTTTGTTTTGTACAATTACAATCTTTAGCTAAATGGAGTCGTTAAGGCTAGAACAAAGTCAGTGAGCTATTTCTTATCCATTTTTATTTATTTTTTTTGTCCTGTTTTGTTTAAAGCTTTGTTTTGTATGTTCAGTTAAAGAATGTAGTGACTTTAATTTCTTTGAATTGGTTTCATGAATACTTCTTCATAAAACTTAATGTTGGAATATATTGATTTGCCTGCCATATTGAATCATAAAGCAGAGATTTGCCTTGAAGGGACACTATATATAGGCACCAAGACCACTTCAACTCATTGATTCAATGCTTTCCTATGGGGAGGCCTAATGCGCCGCTAGTCCTAGGACGTCTGAGAAAGCAGTCACAACACAGCACCAAGGGACATCGGTGCTGGGACAAGGTAAGTAAAGGGTTTTAATGTCTGGGGGGAGGCAGAGGGAGCCATAATGCCAGGAATACAGTTTTGTATTCCTGACACTTATAATATCCCTTTAAGCATCTAAAAAGGCCTTTGGAATATTGACGCTAGATACCTTTGTGACTAACTCTATCAGAGGGAATAGAAGCAGGCAATTTAGTGCTGGCAATTACATGCTAAATAACTCACAATGCTAATGCGGTACTCTGAATCAAAGGCAATATGAATGTAATTCCATGTGATTTTTTTTTTTTTTTTAAACAGGTCAGTTCCATATTCAGAAAGTGATTCCTCAGGCTGATGGCTCCAGCTCCAAGGTCAAAGTGAAAGTACGCGTGAATGTCCATGGTATATTTAGTGTGTCCAGTGCTTCACTCGTTGAAATCCATAAGATAGAAGAAGGCGAAGAACCCATGGAAACAGAACAGACTGGGAAAGAGGAGGAGGTATGGCTTATGAATTATTCATGCTTGTGTTATTACTACTGCTACAAGATACCACAGAATGAGTCCTCTTTGTGGTGTAGTCACACTTTTATTGCATTGCTACTGCTTTTAAAGTTTCAAAAGAATCTAGATTCTAATTTTGGATTGAGTATAAAACTGTTAATGGGGAGCTGTTTGGTGAGAGGGATGGAATGATTTTAATAGACTAAGCTCGTTTGAACAGGGTCCTCTTCAACCTATTGTTTCTGTAAGTTTTCTTGTAATTGTCCTATTTATAGTTACATCCCCCCTCTCATAATATTGTAAAGCGCTACGGAATCTGTTGGCGCTATATAAATGACGATGATAATAATAATACGTTGTTTACAGATGTAGATGAGGACACAGTTAAAGTATTAGCCCTTTAACTGTGTAGATATTAACAGCTTTGGATGAGTGTGCCTGGTTTTTGAAGGTGGATGTTTACAGTTGTGGATAGGGCATCTAGCTTGAATAGTAGATCTTTAATAGTGTATGTTATGAATACTTATCCCCTCCAAGGTCACTAAACAGGCAGATAAACATGCAATTTATTTATCATATTCTACACTGCTTTTTCCTAAAATGATGAGCAGATTCCACCATTGTCCTGTAGCACCTGATCAATACCTATTAAACTTATTTATGTATTTTTGTTATTGCTCAAGTAGCAACTCGCCAAATCACTGAACACTTAGTGTGTGTATGTATGTGTGTGTGTATGTATATATATATATATATATATATATATATATATATATATATATATATATATATATATATATATATATAATTTTTTGTTTTGTTTTTTGTTTTTTTAAATTTTACATAAAAGTATGTTTTAAAACACTAATATTTGTGTTTAGTGAAGTCTCCCGAGAATAACAGTACCCCCATGTACAGGTTTTATGGTGTTTTGGAAAGTTAGAGAGTCACATATAAGGCTTGCATTTCATTTTTTTGACATTGAAATTTGCCAGATTGGTTACGTTGCCTTTGAGAGTGTATGGTAGCCCAGGAATGAGAATTACCCTCATGATGGCATACCATTTGCAAAAGTAGACAACCCGAGGTATTGCAAGTGGGATATGTCCAGTCTTTCTTAGTAGCCACTTAGTCACAAACACTGGCCAAATCTAATTTATTTATTTATTTATTTATTATTTTTATTTATTTTTTTTGCTTTTTTTTCCCACACAAAAATAAATATGAACGCTAACTTTGGCCAGTGTTTGTGACTAAGTGGCTACTAAAAAAGACTAAACATACCCCACTTTCAATACCTTGGCTTGTCTACTTTTTCAAATTGTATGCCAATATGGGGGTAATTCTCATTCCTGGGCTACCACACCGTCTCAAAGGTAACATTACTAATCTGGCAAATTTCAATTTGAAAATGGAACGTTCTATATTTGACCCTGTAACTTTCCAAAACACCATAAAACCTGTTAAAGGGGGGTACTGTTGTACTCGTGAGACATCGCTGATTACTAGAGATGTCGCGAACTCCGGTCAGCTGACACATCCCGGGCCAATCTCCAGCAGACCTTCCCTCCCAGATCCTCTCACCTCCTGGACAGCATCCATGTTGAAGCTGCCTTCAACATGGATGCTGTCCAGGAAGTAGGAGGGTCTGGGAGGGAGGGTCTGCTGGAGATTGGCCAGGATGTGTCAGCTGACCGGAGTTCGTGGCGAACCGTTCGCGACGAACCGTTCGCGACATCTCTACTGATTACAAATATGTGCTTTTTTTTTTTTTTGCAGTAAAACCTAACAATATTATGACCTTTACAGCTAAAATGTGAGGCGGAACTACAAATTTTTTAAAAAATTTAAAATTTCTCAGTTTTTTTTTTAATTTTATTCATGATAAATTGTTTCATAGCTAAATATTTGATATGAAATGAAAGCCCTATTTCTCCTGAACAAAATTTTATATATAATAAGTGTGGGTGCATTTAATATGAAAGAGGTGAATTACTGTTGAACAGACATATAGCGCAAATTCCAGTTTTCCAGTGTTTACGTTTTGTTTTGATCAGAACGTGTACTATTGACTCCGTCCTGAATGGGGTTAATTTTTTTTTTTTCTTTATCGTGGCTCTTGACGTGTATATATAGTCCCTACATTAAATATGCTTTTAAATTGAATCAAAATCTTTTATTTACAGAAAATGCAAGTCGATAGCGAAGAGCCTAAACAAGAAGAGAACCCACAAACACAAGCGGAACCCAAGAATAATCCTGATGAAATGGAGGTGCTTGATAAATATATTTTTTGCTGTCCCTCTTATTGTACCTTGCCTTTTGTAATGAATACAATGGTCTTATTTTATTAGTTACAAGTTGGTAAACAAAAATTTAGGTAAATTTTGAGTCAAAAAGTATACTTGCTAAATTTGCAAGTGGATCTGGATGCTTTGAAAAAAATCATTCCTAAATTGGTGTCAAGCTCAAGTAACCCTTAGTTCTGCTGATTTAGTTGGTAGTTAGTAGCAAGCTGGTAAATGGTAAAAAAATAAAATTAAAATAAAATCCAAAAACAAAATAGCTAAGGCCATTTCTAACTTTTTGCATTTGAATTTGTTTGAGATGATTTAAAAATACGTCATGGGGCTTCCATATGCAGCAGTTAGGAGAGAACAGAAAAATCAGACTGGTTCCTAGGATGCCTATTTAGTGTGAGGGATGGATGCTGATACCTTATAGTGGCAGTGTGTTTACAAGCCAAACGTGAGAATCTGCAGTTTACCAGGAGACGGGAATCTGTTAAATAGAGTGGGTTTCCTTATGTACTCCATTAAGGAGGAAGGGTGCACAAGTAAGGTAGCTGGCAGCATTGCCCACTACTTTCCAAAATGACTGCCCACAACTAGATTGCCACCTCAAATCATGTTTCGGCTTTACAATCATGACATGCAAATGATTTTTGTAGAGGCAAACATACTGTATGAACATCTTCTTCCAATCCATGTAGAGAAATACAAACAAAAAATATGGATCCTTACAGCTAGATTGAATAACTATTTGTGCTTTCATTGTTTTGTTTATCAACATTACCCCATGGGATTTACAGCCCATGCATTATAACTGCAAGTGTGATTACCCATACTGCAATTTATATCCAGATTGAATGCACAATTAAAACTTGATAAATTAAAGGAAAACACTTAACATTAAAAATATTATTTTTCTTGTTTTAATTTGCACACTCCCCTTATAAGTTGAGAAAAGTTACATTTTTCCCTAGTTCTTGTGAGTCTCTATGGAGCAGCCAACTCTGCCTTCTGTGAAGTCATCATTCTTGATTACTTTTTTTTCTCAATATGATGCTTCTCATAGAAAAATATTTAGATCCGTACATGGTAATTGTCATGTTCTGCCAGTTGGATGCTTCAAATAGAGAAGCATTAGCTGCATTTGTCATCATGCTGAGTGTGATGACTCTGAACATATAGAGTATTGTGCTAGTCTCTAGAGTTGTCACTCTTTCTGCTTTGTATAATGAATTGATTCTGTTTGTTAGACATCACAGGGTGGGACCAAGGATAAGAAGACTGATCAGCCTCCTCAAGCTAAGAAAGCCAAAGTTAAGACCAGTACAATTGACCTACCCATTGATCACTATCCTCCATGGCAGATTGGGAGGGACGCTCTGAACCTATTTGTTGAAAATGAGGTATGCAACCGGTGCTTTCAGTTGAAATTTTATGTTTGCCATATGTGTAAAAATGGTTTGCCATATGTGTAAAAATGGTTTTATACTTTTTTGTGCATCTGTATGGTAAATGTGCAACTTTGTAGGAAGTCTAATTCCATCTACAATGTGCCAGCCAAATTTGTAGCAAATTGGTCAACCTGTTATTCCAGGATTTGTTTTCTAATCCATCAACCGTGTTATAAAGTAACAAACACTGTGGCTCTAGAAATATACTTTTGGATTTCGCTAGCATAATTGTATAGTTTACAGTTTGTTCATTATCTAATGTAGCATGGCTACATTAATGGGGGAAAAAAGTACACACCCTCTTTGCATGTTATGGTTTTACATATAAGGGCATGACCTTCACCTGTTCCTTAGCAGGTCTTAAATTCAGGTAAATACAACCTCAGATGATCAACAATACATGACATATTACATGGTGCCATGATTTATTTACCAAACATAATTTCAAAATGGAGAAGCTATGTGTGGAAAAACAAAGTACACCTTGATTTAATAGCTTGTAGAACCACCTTTAGCGGTGAAATGGAAAAATCAATCAATAAATTGATTATTTCTTTGTGTATCTGCCCCTGGCCAAATCAATGAAACAATGCGTGCAGGCTCCCTGAAGTAATTCACACCAGACACATGTTCCAGGTTGTTGAATAACTTGAGGAAAGTTTATTCAGAGGGGACGGCAGGTCCCTTTTAAAGCAAAATTACATCATAAGCATTGTCAGAGATAACATGGAATAATACATCAATAATTGGTTAAGTGTTAAGTGTTTTATTCAAAGCACGTCCTACTGGGTGTGCCTTCTTATGTCATTACTGTCGTCATGAAGTTCTCCCCCGGATTCCAGCGCCATCTTATAAATTAGTGTTTGGTCGATGGGTGGGATACTCCTGAGTGACATCTAGTGGTCAGTTTAGTAATTTATTGAGTATAACTAAATGTAGTAAATAGACATTTTACTAGCTAAAAATATGTCAATATTTCATTTCCACAACAAGCGGCAATAACTTGAAGTAAGTTTTCTGTATGATTCTATGAGCGTCTCTCATCGTTGTTTGGTTTTCACCAAACATGGCGCTGAGCGTTATGGCCAAACATCTCCACTTTTTGGGCTCATCTATCCAAAGGACATGGTTTTTGAAGTCTTGTGGTTTGTTCAGATGCAACCTTGCAAACCTAAGCCATGCTGCCATTTTCTTTTTAGAAAGAAGCTTTCTCCTGGCATCCCTGCCAAACAAACCTTACTTGTTAAGTCTTTTTTTTTTTCTTCTAATTTTACTGTCAATTTAACATGCTAACCAAGGCAGTAGAGTCTGAGATATACTCCTTATCTGGTATTAACCAGACTATCTGAGTTCAGAAAGATGGACTGTCTTCAAGGCTAAAACATCAGTCAAGTGTGTGAGGGAAATGAGTGTTTGTTACTTTTATTTATTTATTTATTTATATTTTATTGAGATGATAGCTGTATTCTGGAAATGTAAGCATGTGTACTAAGTAACTGGCTTGTACATTCTAAATGTCAGAAGCTACACTGGCAAAGAAAACCTAATTTAAAAAAAAGTAAATTAGAAGTACAATAAGGTAGCTTTGAAAAATGATTATACAGCCGCAGCTAGAAGATTCACGAGAGGTAGAAGATTCACTCAGTGGATCAACACAACATGCAAACTATATATTTTTTTAAATTTATGTACCGGATAAAACACAGTGAGTTTTTCTTTGCTCTGGCTCTGAACCCATTTATTTCTGCATATCAGCTGCCCTTAATTCCTTTAATCAAACACTAATGAAGAGGGAAACCAATGGGACATCTCCCTCAGGGTCTCGTGTGATTCAAAGCTTCAGTAGGTAGCTGTCACCTTTGACCGTTTTGGCTTTTTGAAGGAGTTTTCACATTGCATTAGTCCTACTGTTGTATAAAGCGTTCTCTGTAGCTTATGGGGCCTCTGGTGGGGCCCAACAGACCTGCTCCAGCCAGCCTAGGTGAGAGATAGGAAGTAGAGGGCCCATCAGGCACTGAAACCCAGTTCAGCTGGTTGTGGTTGCTGCTCTCCCCCTCTGTTCCAGTCTTGCCAAGAACTCTGCACATAGGGCCTCAAAGGCTTTGATGAAGGCTCTCGCCCAAGATCACTCCAGACTAGGTCGCTATCAAATGAATCACTCCTAAAAGGTCAATTCCCAGTAAAAAAACAAACCTCTAATTCGAAAGTACTGCTTCCTGTACAATGTCTCAGCCTGGCAATTAGTATTGAAAGGTTTAATGACTTTAGCAAACTAAAAAGACAAGAATGTTGCAGGAGCTTTAGTGATAAGTATTCTTCCACCAAGGCTGTCAGGCCCCGTTATTTATGGTTTCATCCACTTGAGAGCTGGTCCAACTCTTTTACAAGTTGTGCTGCCCCAATGGATTTTTTTTTTTTTTCTTCTAATGTTTTTTTATAAATTCTATTTCCTACAGGGTAAAATGATGATGCAGGATAAACTGGAGAAGGAGCGTAATGATGCTAAGAATGCCGTTGAAGAATATGTTTATGAGATGAGGGACAAGCTGTGCTCAATCTATGAGAAGTTTGTCAATGAGGATGTAAGTCTTGGTGCTTGAAAACTATTATCCACCACCCATGGAAGTGTCTTGTGGTGACGGTACTGTGCTTTTAATCGGTGTTGGTTACCACAAGTCCATTTTGCAGGGAAGGCACTTTTGTATTCTTTGCCATGTCAAATGTTGGTAAATACACCTAGAAATCTTATTTGTAACTGTTTCTGAATCACTTGGTTTTCTGTCGCCTCAAACTAGCCTTTCTCCTTTAGTTTACTTTCTCTTCCTCGTTCAGATTCTGTTCTTATTTTCTTCTCAATTTCTGATCTATTTCTCTTTAAAAACATAAGACAAAATTTTTGGTGGAGCGTTTTTAAAGGGACTCTATAGACACCCAGATCACTTCATTTCCTTGAATTGCACTTGGTCCAGTGTCACTATTCCCTTAACTCTGCAATGTATAACATTGATGTATTAGAGAAACTGCAATGTTTTTAAATTGCAAAGCTAAGACTGCCTCTAGTGGCTGTTTACCAGCCAATAGAGGTGCTTACTGCAGTTTCACGGAGTTTGACTCTGTGAAACTACACTGGCTTTGGATGAGGACCTCCAGCGTTTAAAAACCCCATTGGAAAGCATTGCGTCAATTCATTCCTTCAGGGAAGGCCTAATGCTTGCGCGACACTCACACATTAGGTTCTCTCCGTTGGCTGATGTCGGAAGAGGGGCGGTCTGACCCAGCACCAAGAGACATTGGCGCTGGATTCAGGTAAGTGTTTAAAGCATTATTTAACCTTTTACATGGCTTGGTGAGAAACCAGGCAAAGGGGTAATACAGTAGCTTTGTCTTTAAAGCAAGCTCTTCTGCCTTTGTTCGTTGAGAAAGGAAGTGAAGCTTGCCTTAAAGCGGAACTGTCACGGCCATATCGTGTTTTTTGGGGGGCGAGGGGGAGGTTTACCCGACTCCACTACATATTTATTTTTAAATAGTTTTTATTGCATTTTAAAAAAATAACACAGGAAAGGGGTACAAAAGGGAAAATGGGGAAGGAAATGGTCTATCCATCTAAGAGAGATCTCCCTCCCCCCTCTCTCCCTCTCCCCCTCCCTCCCATTTTAGAGCCTATAATTATAACATTCCATGCATTGTGGGTTTATTTTTGTATATCAAGATTTTTATTTTGATAAGAATAGGACAGAGTGAAAGATTAGTGAAACAACCTGAGATTCTCAGATCTCCAATGCAGAAGTAAACATTGGTCACGCAGGACCTACTCGTATTAATAATCATCATACATATTTAGTTGCATAAGTGAGTTTGTTACATCATGCTCGTCATTTGGCTTCATTTCCAGGCCTACCTACGAACTCGGGGTATCTTTACTTCAGACTGGACAATGCGTACAGCCGCCCTTGGTTTCCCCCCAACCAGTCAACCCTGTTACTCCCCTTAGTATTATTCATTTGCGTATATGAGCTCAGGGGCAACAGTGACTGATCATGAGGGACATGAGCGTCCCGTGGCCACGGAGCGGTGTTTGACTCCTCTGCACGCCAACTCCACTACATTTAAACATTCAGACGAATGAATGAATAGAAATTTCAGATGAATAAACACCGAATGTCTTTGTTCGTTCGCTTGTTCTGTTTATTACAAGGAGGGAGCTAGCGGGTCGCAGCTCCCTCCTTGTAATATGTAAAAATTGAAGCGGCAGGTAGCTGCGCTCCCCGCCACTTCCTAAGCCCCCCATGTCCTCCTCACTCTGACAATATGACCCCCATATTGGTAAAAGGGAGATGGAAACCTCCCTAATGCCCCTACTCGCTCTCCTGCGAGTAGGGCATGTCTACTAAACCGTGAGCAGCCTGCCTAAATGATGGGGCATCTGTTAACTAGCATGGGGGGACATGACATATTGTGGAGGCTATTCAACAAAATGGGGGACATATGGTCCCCCTTGGCCCCCACCCATGAGACAATTAACCATATGGAGGAGGACCATGCACCTCTCATGCGTAGGGGACAATAGGTCCTCTCCCTCCACCTCCAAACATGAGCAGCAGGTGGGAGCTCTAAATGACAATTAGAGGGGGGAGACCTATTGTCCCTCCCCCCAGACCTCACCCACGAGCAACGTGTGGGGGCCCTAAATGAGAGTGATGGATGAGGGGGGTGGAACCTATTGTCCCCCACCCATGAGCGGCAGATCGGGGCCCTAAATGAGGACCGAAGTCCCGAATTCCATCCTAACACGAATGGACAAACTATAGTCATTTGGAGCCATCGCGAGATCACGGAGGAAAGGATGAGTATTTTCTTATGTTTTAAAGAAAAAAACAGATCCTGAGAGAGTGAGAAAAGAGGAAACGATTGGGTAATAGTAAGTTCGGCATGATAGGGCCGCTTTAAGCTCCACCCTTGAACACTATTAAGCTTTGGGAAAAAAACCAACAAAGTAGTCCATTGTAATAGATCACAAATGAAGAAAAAAAATAACTGATTATGAAAGAGGGAGAGAAGATGAATCAATAGGAGACAGGGAAGTGTGCAATGACATTTAAAGGACATTTACTTGGGTCATACTCTGATTTTAACAATTCAATTTTTAGGATCGTAATAGCTTCATTCTCAAGCTTGAAGACACCGAGAACTGGTTGTATGAAGATGGGGAAGATCAGGCTAAACAAGTGTATATAGATAAATTAAATGACCTTAAGGTAAGACAAAATTGCCGTAAAGGGTATTGACAAGCATAATAGCCGCTTATCGACTCAATGAGCAAGAGCACATTCATATTAAACTGACATTTTTATTTTGGTTTATATCCTAATAGAACTTGGGTCAGCCTATTCAGACACGTTATCAGGAGTTTGAAGAACAACCAAAAGCTTTTGAAGAACTAGGAAAACAAATTCAACTTTACATGAAAGTGATTCATAGCTTTAAAAACAAGGTAATTTAGGCCATATAAGAAACTTACTAGTTACACTGTTGTATGATTAAGGGTATAAATCGAGTGAAAGAGTTGTTACTTTTATATCACTATAATGTATTTTTTCATTTATATATGGGGAAAAAAAGTTTTTATATGGGTATACAGAGTTTTTATGTTTTGTGCGAATTTGTCCATATTCCTCCTATCTGATCTTCATTTCTGTAGTATTGTCCTCTTGTTGGTACCATACCAAAAGACACACATTTTCAGAAGATTATGTTGTGTGCTAGTTATATTAAAATATGTGAATTGAATTGCTGCTGGCAGAATATACACACAGCCTACATGTTTCTATTTGAAAAGCCACATGCAGTCATCCTCAGATTGGATTGAGTGGTAGGGAAGAGTTGTGATAATACTTGATAAACTAATGGTTCAAAATGCTCATTTTCACAATTTATTTTTACATAAGATATCATGATGTTGGTAAAGTGAATTAAGCAGTCATCTGGCAAGTTGACCACTTATTGTACAATTTAGACCAGTGGTTCCAAAACCAGTCCTCATGGCCCACCAACAATCCAGGATTAAATATTTTCCGGTTTTATTCCAATGGTGATACTGACCAAACCTGAACTGTTGCTGAGTCATGAGGACTGGTTTGGGAAACACTGATTAAGACAAACACTGAATGACAGGGACTCTGTTTGACATGTTGGAGAACTGGCCATTGTTTCCATGGGAATATGCATCCTTTACTCCTCTGTAGGCTGTAAGTAGATGATCTGCTCCATCTGATTACCATAATAATGGGGAAACTACAGCTTATAAGTGCTTACTTTGTCTGTTTTGACACTCTTTAGCCTTAGTCATGGCAGCCAACTGAGATGTTTTCTGTATAGCGGTCCTTTACTTGGTTACTTTCTCTACATAATTTCTCACCACAGGAGGAAACATATGAGCACTTGGATCCTGCAGAAGTAGAAAAGGTTGAGAAGAGTGTAAATGAGTCCATGGAATGGATGAACAACAAAATGAATCTCCAACATAAGCAGAATCTAACAGTGGATCCAGTAGTGAAGACAAAAGATATTCAAGCGAAAACAAAAGTGAGTTCTCAGCCTGGGTGGGAAGCATTTTTCATCTCTCTAATCTGAATTCTGCAAGTATAGTCATCACTGTAGCAGCAACACATAGTAAAATTGAATCCAGTTTTGTTTCAGACCTGCAAGGGTTGTTTATCTGCATTGTATTCACTCATAAATATTTCTCTAACGCTCAAAAATGTTTTACCTGATTTATTTAATATAGAATACAAAATGGGGAACAGTAGCTTCATGTTCTGTAGTTTGAAATATATGGGTGTTCCTTTTCTCTCTTCCTCTGTCTAAATGAATAGTTTAAGCTGATCTTGGGTTTTCCATTATAAAAACAATTTTTCAGTTGTGTGTAACTTTCAAGTGCAATAGATACATATATGCAGTATAGTGCACCTTTTCCAGTCCAGATGGGAGTAACAAAATGTTGGTTTGAACTATTGTGATAAATATTTCATATGTAGTGAGGCAAAACTCCCTTGAAATCTAATCTTTCTTAATGCAAGGTAAAATTACATTTAAAAATCTGCATATGCATGTTTCACTATGGGTTCCTGGAGTAGAACAGACAGTTCTCGAATACAGGCTGGTAATTAGGAATATGACCGTTTGTCTTTTGTCCAGAGTACACGTTTTTCTTGTGTACTCTGGAAAGCATGTGCATGTTAAATTAACCACAACTAACCTACCAGTGTTCTATTCTTGAGTGATCAATCAAAATACGGCTGTAGTTTCTGGCACTGAAAGTGTTTGGACATTTTCTGTGTTAACTCTTCACAAAAACGTGTTCTTTCTTGCCATAGTACAGTAGGTTACTGTGTTTTCAATTATAACAGTTTTGGTTTTATTCACAAGTCATGAACAATAGTCTGTGCTTCTGCCCAAGAGAGGTGTCGGTTTGGTTGTCAGGTCTATTTCTTTGTGGCTTTTCTATTATTTTTTATACTGCTGCCTACCCCAAGTGTGCCCTATTAATGGTTAACTTCTAGGGTTAATAGAAAAATCCCCCTTTTTGTCTCATAAGCGCTTTTGGCTTTCTTAGCTGAAACGTAGTCAGTTGTTAGAGTGGGACTCACCTGGTATTTATATAAAAGCTGTATTTGACATTCCAGTTGTACTAAAAATCTGTTGAAATGTGCTTCTGGATTTGGGATAGTGTGCAAGTTAATGGTTTTTTTTTTGTTTGTTTTTTTTCTTCTTGCACTAAAGGAGCTAACATTCACATGTAACCCGATTGTCACAAAACCGAAGCCCAAGGTGGAACCACCAAAAGATGAACAGCAGGCGAGTGAGCAGAATGGACCAGTAGACAGTAATACAAACAGCCAAGGCCCACAGGCTGCTGAGCAGAGTTCAGATACAGCTGCTTCTGATGCAGAAAAAAAGCTTCCTGAAATGGACATTGAATGAATTCCGTAAAATGTTGCTATTTTCAACAGTACATAATAAAGCTTTAAGTTGTTACCTTCATATGGCTCAAATACAGATCCGAGAAAAGTGACTGCAAATTTCTTGTAGTTTACAATTAAACCTACTCCCCGCGCCCCCACCCCCCCTTTTTTTCTTCAGTTTTTTTTTTTTTAAAACACCCTTTGACACGTGTTTGTTGTTTTTCTTCTTTGTTTTTTGTTTTTCCATTTTCTATTGCGTTGCTTTACAATAAGTCCTTGTTGCTACAGATGATTAGTAACTTGTTCTTTTAACAATTAGGTTTATGCCTAAAAGTTACAACAGTTGTAGTATTTTCCAGGGTTAAAAACAAATGGCTGAAATGCTTTGAAAAGCTCTTGCCACAATAAAAAGCAACATGCCCTTGCTTCTTAAGATCTTTAAATGATGCTGTAGTCTTTGTTTGCATCTCTTTCTGTATGCCATACCTCCACCCTAGACAGCTGGTAAATGGCTGTAATCTTGGCCTCTTGCATGGCAGCCTGGCTAGCAAGAAATTGGAGTATTAAGACCCAGCACTTGCCACTGTCTTCTTATAGGAACACACACATTTTATGGTCTACAAGAGCTAAAATATGCTTGCTATGTGATCGTTAAGTATTATATTTTACATTTATTTTAAAGGCATACATGTGTTTTCTTTACACACAATATGCTGTCCATTCATTTCTTAGCTAGTTGAAAAGAGAATCTTCTGATTATAAAATGATGGAAGCAAAAACAATGGATATTTAGAAGGCAGAGCACTGTAAGATACAATGATGGGTGTTAATGCTACTACTTTATCTCTTGGAGGAGCCATGATTGATTGTGGGGTTGCAGGGATTAATATTGATGGTCACCATTTGAAGGCCAAAGGTTAATTCACTTGGACTCATGCAATGCAGCTTATTTGTCAATCATTCTTCATGTTATTTTAAACATGGGGCAAGTATCTAGTAATTGTTTTGCGGTATAACTTTCTGGTAACCATATTGGTCCCAGGAAATAAACTAGATTCTCTGTCGAGTGCATAAAAATTGTGTAGAGATATTGAACGTGACCTTTCAAAATGAACTGAAAATGTCTATGTACAATGTCTATGCATTATTTTTATGTTGGTTTAATACATTTACATCCCATGGTATATTCAACATTTTTTTTTTTATTTTATTTTTTTTTATTACCAAAACTGAACACCTACAGCAGATCTTGTCTGAAAATAAACATGCTGGGTTGCAACTTGTGTTGTGTGTGGTTTTTTTTTTTTGTATGGTGTGTAGAATTGGTGTACAGAATTTTCAAAGTAACACTCCAAGCACCATAATCACTACAATGTACTGTAGTGGTCAATTTGCCATGGGTACTCTGGCTCCCCAGTGTAAAGAGTCTGTTGGGTACTAGTTTGACTTTAAACATGGGTGTGTCAGAGGCTGCCCAAACCACCTCTCTGCCTGAAGCTCCCTTCACTGAGTTCAGCTAAGCAGTGCTTAACTTAGGAGAAATTACAATAGCTTATTGGAGTGTTGCTTTAATATAGAGAATTTAAAAAAAAAAAAAAAGCTCACATTCAGTTTTTTTGATACCAGAAAGACACATAGTGTGTGTGCGTGCGTGCGTGTGCGTGCGTGCGTGCGCCTTTGCAGACATATGGATATTAGTCTTGGGTGGATGTACAGTTGTGGATGATTGTTTCCTTGTGTGTGGAGCTACTAGGAATAGGTATTGGAATGAGTGCATCTATACACTCACAACCGCCTGCATGACACAACAAAAGTAAATGTAATTTATGCATGTGTGCAGTAAAAACAGGACCAAAAAAGTTACTTCAACTTTTTTTTTTTTTTTTTGCTGTGCATTATTTAGCAGTATAAACAAGTAAAAAGTTTGTAACAAGAATAACATCAGAATCATCAACAGTCAGATTACATAGTGTTTGACATTACTATATCGCATGGAATTGGCATATTTATGTACTTTTTATATATAAAAACAAAATGGAGATGGAACCAGGGAGGGGGGGGGATAAAACGCCATACTTCTGGGTAGAAAAGGAGCAGAAGGTAATTAAACCTGCCTTCTTATTAAAAACTCTGGCTCTGTGTACTTTCCACTTTTTATTAGCATGTAAAACCTAGAAGATTTTTCCACTGTTGGCATGGCAGCAAAACATACCTGCTATGTTCCTTTAACATAATCATTCTCAAGTTATATGCCAAGCGTCATCAGGGGCACACTCATTCGAATAGCCTCCAAAAAGAAAAAGGTAGCTACTCGAGAAATGGCGGCGCTCTACAAGTCCATCACGACATTGGAACAACAACAACAGAAGAGGTCCCAGCTGATGGAAACATATGGAGAATTAATGCAAGCTAGACGCCAACTGAGAGATCTCACAAAACGCCACCTACGATCTTTACAACACTCCAAAGGGTTCTTCTACACCGATGCCAACAAAGGCGGCAGATACCTAGCAAGGCTCTTGAAAGGCAATGCCCCTCGCACACAGGTCCGCACCCTGCGCCTTTCTTCGGGCGCCTTGACTGCATTTCCGGACAAAATAGCCGAAGAATTCGGGCGCTACTACCAATTGCAATACAACCTACAAGATCGAAACAGACGGTAGGACAGTGACGCCGAACTTAGCAGAACGCAGGAATACTTAAGAGAGACCATGACGAAAGCAATACGCCCAGACACAGCAGAGGAGCTGGACGCCATGATTACGGCGGAGGACATTCAGGCAGCCCTGAAATCTACTAAAACGGGAAAAGCCCCAGGCCCAGACGGCCTCTCATCAGGATATTATAAAACCTTCTCATCAATCCTGTTGCAATGGTTGACGAAAGCTGTTAATGCAGTGGCCGAAGGGGAAGCGTTTGGAAGGGACTCCCTGGCAGCCATAATAACTGTACTGCCGAAACCCGGGAAAGACCCAATGGCGTGCAGCAGCTACCGCCCAATATCCTTGCTAAATGTGGACACTAAAGTTCTGGCGACTAGGCTCCAAAGGGCTCTCCCATCATGATTCATGCGGACCAAATAGGGTTTACACCCGGTCGGGAAGCACGAGATAGTACCCTGCGGCTGTTTGCAATACAACACAGAGCGAAAACAACTTCTTACTCTCCACAGATGCCGAAAAGGCCTTTGACCGGGTGAAATGGCCTTACATGCTCGCTACTCTAGGCCACATGGGGATGGGACCCAGACTCCTCATGTGGATTTGCGCACTCTATAATAAACCACAGGCTGCGGTGAGGGTAAACGGAGCAATCATTGTGCAGTTTGAGATTTCCAACGGCACGAGGCAGGGCTGCCCACTATCGCCACTGCTGTTTGCCTTGTCTGGAACCACTGCTACAGACGATCAGACAACACCCAGACATTAGGGGTTTCTCCTGGCAGGGAACGGAACATAAAGTGGCCGCATACGCGGATGACCTCGTGGTTTTTTGTTACAAACCCCAGAATTACGATGCCCAACATCTTGGTGGAACGGAACAATTTGGCAAGATGGCGGGTTTCAAACTTAACCTATCGAAATGTGAAGTGCTAAATATCACCCTCCCGGAGGAAGAATACGCAGCACTGGAATCTCTGTTTCCATTCTGATGGTGCTCATGTAAAATGAAATACTTCGGGATATGGATAACGAAGGACCCGATGACCTGTACTCACAAAACTTCGCATCGCTACTGAAGACAATACTGGCGGACTTAAACAAATGGGCATATCCACATGTCTCCTGGCATGGACGAATTGCAGTTCTGAAACTGAACATCCTACCCAGACTCCTGTATCTGTTCCAGACGACCCCGATGGCAATACCTTCATCCTTCTTTCCCACATTGAAATCAGCAGTCATCCGGTACGTTTGGAGAGGTGAACGTTCAAGGCTCCGTCATGAACTCCTATGTTTACCACGGCATAGGAGGCCTGGCATTACGAAAACAATGGGTAACCCTGGCACAAGGACAGGGGGCACACCTACAGGCTGCGGTATGGGGGAAACGGGCAAATGCGAATATAGACCGGGGAAAGGAGGGAATTGTGGCACAAACGCTCACCAGCTGGAGACTCATGAGGGAGCAGGTGCACACCGAGCCCAATGCTGTCCGTCACTTATGACGCAATAGGGGGGACTTACATCAACATCGTGGCCCTTTGGAGGGGGATGTGAATATGTTCCCATCACCAAGATACTACAGAACGGCGATATACGGAACTCGGACTCCTTATTAGGGGACACACCCCGGACCCCTCTAACAGCATTACGATATATGCAAGTGAAACACTTTTGGAACAGCATGCACGATAAAGACCGCCTACATAGAGCTCTATCGTGGCTCGAGACACTGTGTGAAAAGGGCACCCCTGTGGGGAAGGCAATATCCACGCTTTACCAACACCCCTTAGTCGGACACCTCACGGAAAATAATACCTTTCGCAGGCAATGGGAGACTATGCTCGACACCACCTTTACATCCTCGCAATGGGAGAACGCCTTACTCTGGCAACACAAGAGCTCCATCAGCTCACTCTACCAGGAAACTAACTATAAAATCATCGCACTGTGGTATCGGACCCCAGCACTCCTTCATAAGATCTTCCCGTCAACACCTCCAATATGTTGGAGGTGCCAGGTGGAGAGGGGCACGATGATACACATATGGTGGGAGTGCAACTCCCTTGCTCCATACTGGGAACTGATACGACAAAACATAACTGAAGTCCTGGGAGAAACACCCACATGGACAGCAGCTCTGGCACTCCTGCATATCTCACAAATGTCGATCGCAGGATATAAAAAGTCGATCCTACGACATCTACTCAATGCAGCTAGAGCTCTGATTCCTATATACTGGAAAAAGACAGATCCCCGGCACGGAGGAGTGGATTCGTAGAGTGGAGAGCATTCAGGGGGCGAAGGCGATGCAAGCATCTCTGCTGGGCAGAGAGGATAGACACGCAGAGCTGTGGCGACCATGGTTCGCATTTGTATCCAGGAATCCGTAGGGCGGGGGAGGATTCGGACCCTTAGGGCGGAACCCATACCTCTTCTCATATCAAGACTCCCTAACTCTCGCTCTTTTCTTTCTTCTTCTCTATCATGGCTCTTGTGCTTACAATTCACTCTTTTTACCATCTACATATACACATAGCTAACTCAAAGACTACCACACTACGGTAACATGTAAAAAAAAAAAAAACCACCACCTTAATTACAATTCACGGATACACCGCCAGATAAAGTAGAATTATACACGGATGCATGGAACAAAGAATGCTAAGGTAGCTCAGGCAAGGAAACTTTGAATCCATACCACAGCCACCGCTCGGAGACATAAGACCAACAAGATTACGGGTGACTGAAACAACACCTAGCTACCACACTCATTACGCATACAATGTACGCTCTCACAGGCATCCGTGTACCTAATGATAACCCACAAACACGACGTGGAGAACTCGTGGCTGGCCACCCACATACCATGCATATATCTCGAGGGGAAATGGTGGGAACCATGTACAAGTTAATTACCGAAAAGTGAGTTATGGTTGTTTACACTGCCTTGATGTAAGATGACAATTGATTTGTTACCATTACTGAATGTTATACCTGATACACATCTGATTATACTATAGCAGATACATACATGACCTCAAACTGCTCATGTTTGAATTGAAATAAGCTGTTCTATCTTTACTTTACCTAATAAAAACAGATTTACAAAAAAAAAAAGTTATATGCCAAGGAAAAAAAAAAAAATCTTGTTTCTAGAAAGTAATGTGTAGAATAATTTTGTATGTATACATATCCCATTATATGATTATGCAATGGTTTCTTTGTTGGTCCTTGTTTGAGATATGGGAGGGGGGCATGCATCCTGAATGGAGACATCTGATTGGACCTTTCTCCCTGGCTGAGTGCATGTGCATGCTCTAAACCTGGGAGGGAGTTAGTTGGAGGTGGAAAAATAATGGAGGGAGGGGGCATTGAGGTTTCCTCTTGAATTGAAGACTAGAATGTCTTGTCACCAGCGCACTGTCAGACATGTTTATAGCAGTTCTGAAATGCCTGGGTCACGTGTGCTGGGGGGGGGGGTGCAACTAGCCCTGGCAGAATGCAGCATTTCAAGCAGACATGCTGCATGTGCAGTTTTCTTTCCCACCATGACTTAAACTGAATGTAAATTCTGAATATGTGGTAAATGAAGCCTAAACTAGCTTAGGTGCGTTGATTTATAGATCAATGGTATTCAACTTTTTTTTTTTTTTGTCAGACGGGCCATGTATGCATTTTTCCAATCGGACTTAATTTGCAAACAAAATGGAGTTTAGTGAATCATCCTGTAGAATTTATGGCACAGTTTGAGGTGACTTTATCACAATGTTGCATAGTGTACTAGGTTAAAACCTCTCTAGATTGCTGTGTCCCTATTGCTGGTCTGCTACATCTGGTGTGTGTTGGATGGGCAGGATATGGAAAGGATACACAAAGCTTTCAGAATCCTCGTCTAAAACAGATATCCCAAACTCTGGTCTCTTCTGATGGTAATCTCTCTTACGAAGATAATGGCCTACATCTCCCTAAATTATTTGAATGCAATAGATGACCAGAAAATTATGGAAGTTGTAGTTCAGCTATGATTGTGTGTGGGAGGTGCTGTCGTTTTGTAATAGGTTTAGTAAGGATATTGTTAACACTGTAAATAATAGAAAATCAGAAATAAGCTGTAAAATATGTTAAAACAGCAAAGTATAATTGTATGTGTAAATATATACAAAATGGCAAGAAGAATATTGACTCGCTTAAAGACAAAAAGGTAATAAATTTGGGTGGGTGGGGGAGACGCATAATAGTACACTATGAATATTTAACAAATGTCTAAGACACACTCACATTTTACAGCCATTGAGAACTCTGACAGCACCAGAGACCATATAATCACTGTCTCAGGATACCGTCCACCACAGGTAATAGCGATCTCATACATGCAAGCTCAATGAAAATAGGTGTAGAAAGAAAGAAAAAAAAAAAAAGTGATGAAAACTCATGGTGCAGTATGTAGTATAGTATATTAACACAAATGAAAATATCTTGTTTCTAGAGCATGAGTCTGCTCTCGATATGGAGAGCTTGGGTGGTTTGAACCTGGGTAAAATACATAGGCAGTTTGATCCAAAGAAGATTGTAAAAATAAAGCCAGTGGACGTAGTTAAAAAGGAAAATCAAGCTTCCAGATACTTCATTTAAGGACGATATTTGTGCTAGCAACATCGGCAATGGAATTAATTTTAACAGAACACTGGGATCTCCTCAGGACTCACTTTAGTTATAGTAGTTTATGTCCATTTTTATTTTTTTATTTTTTATTAATTTGAAAATAAAGCTAGGTTTTTTTTGTTTGTTTGTTGTTTTGTTTTGTTTTTTTAAAAGCGATCTCACACAATCCCAGAGCCAAGCAATGTCAGAAGATGTGGATGAAAAAAAAAAAAAAAATGTGAGCCATGTGTTGGGGTGTTACATTTCATCTCATCAATAATTTTCTGTTTGATTCAATATGCTCAAAGCAATATATAGTCATATTGATCTGACAAACTGATTTAGCCCATTGTTCA